TTTTGGTTTTTCGAGACAGGGTTTCTCTGTGTAGCTTTGGTGCCTGTCCTGGAACTCACTCTGTAGCCCAGGCAGGCCTCGAACTCACAGAGATCTGCCTGCCTCTGTCTACTGAGTACTGGAATTAAAGTCATGTGCCACCACCCGGCTCTGGAATATTTTCAATTACATCTGGGAGGCTGGAGAGATGGCTCAGTGGTTAAGAGCACTGGCTGCTCTTCCAGAAGATCCAGGTTCAATTCCCAGCACCCACATGGCAGCTCACAACTGACTGTAACTCCAGTTCCAGGGGCTCCAACACCCATGGAAAAACACCAATGGGGGGTGGGGAATCATTTACATCTGGTCTCATGTTTCTAGTAGAACCATTTTCTAAAAAACTTCTCCTTGGTCCTTGCCCTGTCAGAACTGTAACATCTCTGGTTGTGGCAGTCCATTTTTTTAACAATTGTAATAATGGGCTGTGAAAGATGGAAACTTTGAGTACATACTTTATATGGCACAAAATTGTGAGTCAGTGGAAACAAAGATTATGAGGGTTCAACTGCTATTATTTTGTTATTATTTATCTTAAGGAAAACTGTCAAGTTTGAGGCTGGAACATCACTGGGGTAACTTCAAAAAGAAACGTGTGGCTCTTCAGAGTTTGGGTACATGTGTTAAGAACTGAAATGTCGCAGGGCAGTGTTGACACTCACCTGTAATCCCAGCATTCAGGAGGCAGAGGCAGAAGAATCACTGAGTTTGAGGCCAGCCTGGTCTACAGAGTGAGTTCTAGGACAGCCAGGGCTAAATGGAGAAACCCTGTTTTGAAAAACAAAAACAAACAAACAAAGAACTGAAATGTCTGTACACTGCCCCTCAACCAGTAAAATCTCAGTGTGAGAGAAGAAAAAGAGCGTCACAGAAGAATTCAGCTGCACACTGGGGAGCCAGAGACCGTGAGGCAGAAGAGTCAGTGGTTGGGTCTCTAGGCAGGAGGGACTGAGCAGGGAGGTGGAGGCAATGCGCAGGCCCAGCTGATAGGCCATTGGTGCTGGGACAGCATGGAGGAGATCCCAGCAGGACAGGGCCACAGTCTTCTTTGTCTCTCAGAGAAGGAAGGTTCCTTGCCCACATGTCATGGCCAGTAGGAAAAGCCTTTAGATTCAGTGTGCTCTTCATTTAACAGTAACAGACGACGAAGTTGCCCGATATGTATTTATATTATGTAGTTGGTCGTGTTGTTTTTACTTTTTACTCTTTTGGGGGCCCACCACCCAGCTCCTAAGTAATCACATGGAATCTTGTTTCTAGCCAGTTTTTCTTAACTTAAATTAGCCTGTCTACCTTTTACCTCTGGGCTTTTACTTTTCTCTATTTCTGTATATCTTTTCTTTACTTCTTTACTTCTTACTCTGTGTCTGGCTGTGTAGCTGGGTGGCTGGTCCCTGGTGTCCTCCTCCTTCTTCTCTTGCTCCTCTATCCTCTTTTCCCAGATTTTTCCTCCTATTTATTCCCTCTCTGTGCCATCCCCGCCTACCTCTTCTCCTGCCTGGCTATTGGCCGTTCAGCTCTTTATTAGACCCAAAGGTGTTTTAGGCAGGCAAAATAACACAGCTTCACAGTTAAACAAATGCAACATAAAAAGATGCAACACATCTTTGTATCATTAAACAAGTATTCCACAGCATAAACAAATGTAACACATCTTTAACTAATATTCTACAACAATATTACATATACTTACTCTGTGTGTATGTGTGAGATCAGATAACAATGTGCAAGAACTGGTTCTCTGCTTCCATCATTTGAGCTCTGAGGATCAAACACAGGTCATCAGGGTGGCAGCAAGTGTCTTTACTGCTGAGTCAATTTGCCAGCTCATTTCCAGATTTGTAGATGTGTTCTGAAGTATCAGCTATGACAAGAATCACTTGAAATCCCACAGTCTATGTTGGTACTCTCTTTGACTGGGTCAGCCACCAGCAAGCTGAGCTGCTGATCTTGTAGGATCATTCTGATGCAAGTCACCGATTATCTTCCTAACAGTTTATAAAATTGTTTTCTCCTTTTTGTTTTTAAAGGTTGAATGTAATTCTCGCCTCAACCCTATAAATACAACTTTGCTGAAGGTAATGTGTCTTCTGTCACCATTTGTGAGGGAGTTAGCATGATTTCAAACTAGGGTGTTCTAGGGAAGCTTCCCAGAAAAGCTTCTGTGAGTCTGTCATTCACTGTTTCACACAAAAAGGAACGGAACTTCTGAGTCAGTTTTCCTTATGTTAGTTACTGTTATTTTGCTTCAGTAAAACCCCATGACCAAGGCAACATATAAAATAAGGTGTTTAATTGGGCTTACAGTTTCAGAGTGTGAAGTCCATGATGATGGAGAAAAGGCTTGGCAGCAGGAACAGTGAATCCTGATCCACAAGTAGATTGCAGAGAGCACACTGGGAATGGCAGTCTTTTGAAACCTCAAAGCCCAGCCCAGTGACACACCCCTAGTTCCTCCTAAATACCTCTACCAACTGGGACCAAGCATTCAGACATGTGAGCCTACGGGGGTCATTCTAGTTCAAACTACCAAAGTCCTCGTAGATACTGGAAAATAGAGTAAACAGTACAAAAAATTTAAATTGTTCATAATCCCAGTACAAAGAATTATATATAGTAAAGGTATTGGTGTCTTTTTCCTGTACTGTTTTATATCACTAAAATCAGAAGGTATGAACTGAGCCAGGTGGCAAACACCTCTACTATCAGGAGGCATATGCAGGTGGATCTCTGAGTTTGAGGTTAGCCTGGTCTGTAGATCAAGTTTCAAGACAGCCAGGACTACAGAGAAAAACCTGCCTTGAAATCTGCCCCCTCCCAAAGTTATTTATAGCTCCACATCTGTTTTCCTCCCATTCCTGACATAAACATTTCCTCGGATCATCAAAAACTGCATAGGCCAGATGTGGTAGCACACATCTGTAATGTTAGCACTTGGAAGGTGGAAGCAGGAGCATCTCATCTTGAAGGCCAGCTTTGGCTACATAGGGAGACTGTCTAAAAAACAACTGTAACAAAGATGTTAATCATTCTCTGGGCCAGTGTAGTGGTGCACGACTTTAATCCCAGCACTTGGGAGGCAGAGGGCAGATCTTTGTGAGTTCGAGGCCAGCCTGGTCTATAGAGTGAGTTTACAGGACAGCCAAGGCTGCACAGAGAAACCCTATTTCAAACCCCCCCCCCAAATAAATCTAAATGTGGTGTGTGCCTGGCGTAAAGTTTTCTAGCAATGAAACCATGGAATTCATATCTCTTTAAATAGAGACAAGTCAAAGCCAGATGTAGTGGTGCATATCTTTAATACCAGCACTCAGGAGGCAGAGACAGGAGGTTCTCTGTGAGTTTGAGGCGAGCCTGGTCTACATAGAGAGTTCCAGGATAGCCAGGGCCACATGGAGAGCCCCTGTCAATAAACAAACAAACAAACAAACAAACAAACAAACGAGTCCAGTCAGCCAAGTAGCCCCTTCGAAAGGCCTTGGGATACTGAGAGCATTCCCCTTAGTGGAGGTCCTGCTGACTTAGGTGTTCTTCCTCTTCTAGATGGCAGACTGTGGAGGACTGCCCCAAGTAGTTCAGGTAAGAAAGCACTCATAATAACTACATTCTCTCTCTCTCTCTCTCTCTCTCTCTCTCTCTCTCTCTCTCTCTCTCTCTCTCCTCTCTCCTCTCTCTCTGTCTCTGTCTCTCTCTCTTCTCATTGCTACCTCTCTACTTAGGTACAAATTGATGCCTTCTTTGTTTGCTCCCCCAGCCTGGGAAGCTCACCGAGGCCTTCAAGTACTTTTTGCAGGGAATGGGCTACAGTGAGTAGTATGTTTTCTGTTTATGGTGATGGGGTAAGTTTGACATCTGAGTCCACAGTTCTCAGAATATAACCAACCCGTTGACTAACCAGCCTTAAAGTGGAAACCAATAGGGTATAGTACATTCATCTGTGTATGTATATGAGATGGGCAGATGCTCATCAGCACTTAACTATGTCAGGAGGTCCTGGGAACGGATGGAAGTCTCACTGTATTGGACTTACACTTGTTTTTCTTTTGTTCTTTGGTTTAGTCTTGCATGCACTGCAGGTTTTGGTCACCAGTATGTGTTCCCAAAGCCACCTTCCTAATCACTGTATGAATGGCATGGTGCCAAGCTAAGAGGCTTTACTCCGCCCTTAGGGTTTCCCATCTTACTCTGAAGCAGAATCTGGGGAGAATCGAGGTGCAGGGGATCAAAGCAGCCTTGCATACAGCCACTCACCTGGAGCAAATAGTGGGCTGGGAAAGGTAGTCTTCGTTGATACTTGTGGAGTACCAGAGCTTCACTGAGCTCCTTCTAATAACCTGCTTCTTTATTACAGTACCGTCTGCCAGCATGACCCGGCTCGCCCGATCACGAACATACTCAGCCCCCAGTAACATCGGATCTGAAAAAATTTATTTCACCCAACCTGTGACTAGCAGTCAGTCAGATGGAGCTCAAGAAGTCTGTGGGGTCCCTAATCTCCTGAGCACACACCAGACCATGGAGGTGCCCTGCTAAGCAGATGGGTCCCCCCTGGACCATGCAAGTCCCTCCTTCAGATGACCACTCCAGAATAGAACATTTCATCCTGTCAGCTGGCCTCCACTTTCACTCATGCATGGCCACAGCACCTCTCTTTCCCGTAGCCTGGACTTCCCATTCTCTCCACACACCCCTTTTTGTCTGTACTAAGAACCACACCCATGCCATTACTGTAGCATTCCAGCATCTTGATCCGATCTGATCTCCATATCTTCTCGTGCCAGCCTTTCCCTATGCTCCCTCAAATATGTACCTGACGAGATTCTTTGATTCCCAACTCCATGTGTGTGCGAGCACGCGTGTCTGTGTCTGTGTGTGCATAGTTCTGTGATTTTAGACATGCTTTCTTGTAGCGCTTCTGCAAAGGGACTTTTTTGCATTCTCAGTGGCGTTTTAAAGGGAAATATGCAGAGCAGATATCTGGATGGCTTGGACCACAAGATTGGATTTTGGTTCCACTTGGACAATATTTGCAGTGATTTCAGGAAAGAGCAGGTCTGAGGGATGTGGGGACTGTAGTTACTGTGTGGACCACTGATTAGCTGTGACCAGTAGAGGGGTCTGTAGACAGATTCCACAGAGCCATCGCATCCGGCTTGAATTCCTGAGTGGCAGTACCCAGGCTTTGAACACCTTTTTTTTTTTAAAATCAGTGACTGCAACAGAGCCAACCCTGTTGGCACAGGTGTGGGTGAGCCAGCCCCGAAGATGTAAGCATGGGAGACCTGTCCCCCTTACTCATCTGTCTTGTGGCTTCGTGGGCAAGGGAAAGATGCCCTCCCCCTCCTGCCCATCAATACCTGAGGCAGGTGGGAGAGCTGGCCCTGTGGTCATAAGAGAGGATTCATACATGTTGTTGTGTAAGTCAGAGAGAGGTATCTGAAACCATAAATGATGTCTATAAACTATGGAGTTTTCTCCAAAGAATTGGCCTAAGCTCTAGATCAGCCAAGGAAGATGGAAAACAAAACGCCAGGCTCCACTCTGCAGACAGAAGTGCTGTCCCTGTAGCATCTGATACCACTTCCCAGACACCCACACATCTGCAGGAAGTGCCTCCCAGGTCTGGATGGAGAGTGGTTCTCCATCCCTCTGTCCCAGGAAAGGGGACAGTATGGCTCTGACCACTACGTATGGATTATGGTATATGTACCCTCATATACACAGGCATAGAAACAAATACAGAAAAAGAAAGAAAAAAAGGAAAAAGGAATCCTCAGCCTGCTACAGATGACATGTGGAACTATGTCTCTGTAACCTCCACTTGTGAATCTGATGGGCCTCAGAGTTGTCCAGAGGCAGGGCCTGGAGGGTGAGTCCACACTAATTTCTGCTGGAGGCTGTGGGAGTATACAGCAGATGGCAATTAGTAATTCAGGTGTCGACCCACCAGGTGAATAACTCTCTGATGGAGGAACCTCATCAAGCAAGGCTTAAGGGACCACAGACTCTGAAAACTGGCTGCTTCTCTCTGGAATTTTTCTCTTGTGCCATTAATTTCTTCCCTAAGAGCAGCTATGGGTATTTTCCCCATTGCTTGTATGTTTATCTTGTGCATATTCCATCTATTGGGCATACATATATCTGTGGATGGCCAGGAAGATGATTTCTGCTTAGGCGGTATAATTCTGATGAATAGAAATAATACTAGGATATTTTTCATAAACTCAGACAGACGTAAGAAAATGACAGTATTCTCAGCTACAAAGTCAGCTTTTTCTAATCCAAAATAGACTAGTTGCCCCTGGAGACAAATTACACAGGGCTGAGTTCCCAAGGGTCTGTTGGTTGAACCAAAGTCAGGCTGATAACATTAAGACATAAACTCCCAGCAGCAATTGACTTTCTGCACATACTCCTAACCACAAGGTTCAGCCAATAACTGTCTATTATTTCAGTCCTGAATTTCAATGTAACTGTCTGGGAACCCTAACCACTCAGAGCTATATGCCTGCTTTCCTCACCGTGCCCGGTCAGCACGAACTCCCTAGCCTGAAAGACACTGTGTGACTTACCATGTGTTATTAGAATGGGTCGGACCCCATATATGTAATTCATAACTGTCCAGAGTTTGGCTGTTGAAGGAGGTGTGTGTAGAGAGAGCTGCTGTGTAGAGCTGTGTGTAGAAGGTGTGTGTGCAGAGAGAGCTGTGTAGAAGAGGAATAGCTATGTAGAAGAGAGAGCTCTATAGTGTAGCTATATAGAAAAGGGATGTAGAAGAGAGAGCTCTATAGTGTAACTATATAGAAAAGGGATGTAGAAGAGAGAGGTGTGGGTAGGAGAGAAATGTGAGTAAAGAGAGATGTGTGGAGAGAAGAGATGTAACTGTGTATAGAGACGTGTGGCTGTGCAGGAGAGAGATGTATGTATGTAAAGAGAGATACGTAGCTGTATGTAAAGAATGAAACTGTGTAGAGACAGATTTTCAGAAAGAGATTTTTTTTTTATGGTGGAATTACCACCAGAAAGTGTGTTTCCTTACTTACTCTCAGAAAGTCTAGTCCTCGCCATTGATGGTTTTGCATACCCTGGAGACGGTCTTGGAGCTGGCTCTCCCAAAGGCTGCCAATAAATTTCCCTCCAATAAACTTATTTAAACAAATAAAAGTAACCTTCCTACAGAGAATATGCTTCCACTGCTGGCCCTCTGCCCTGCCTGCTGAGTGAGCACCATGTTGAAGATCCAACCAGCCTCCTCAGGAGCAAGGGAAGCCTGGGTCCCCAGAAGAGGCTGTAGCACCTGAGTTCATTCTAGGGTCGGAGTGCAGTGGGTCTTCATGTTAAATAGAGGCCACTAAGGAGGAGACAGTAGGCAGCAGGTGTGCTCCTTGTTAGTAGACGCAGTCAAGGTAATTCTGTCAGTTCTGGATAGGACGCCTGTGAGTTTCAAGCTTGAGCATGCAGCAGAATCACCTGAAATAATTGTAAAACGTGGATGCTGAGCCCTACCAGGGTGTTTCTGACTTAGTGGGTCTGAGACAGACCCGCACACCTAACACCCAGGTGATTCTGTGGCTGCTGGAACCATACTTCAAGAACTACTCTAGATTTCATTTTAAGTGCTTGGGATTGAACCTCAGACCTGGAACAAAAAAAGCACACACTTTCAAAATTACCCATAAGCTTGTATAAAGTGCCTTTTTTGTTGTTGTTTTGTTTTGTTTTGTTTTGTCATTTATTGCTGTGCTTGAGTGGAGGTCAGGAGGCAACTTTCAATGATCCTGCATATTTGGGGTGGTATGGCCACATGCAGAAGGTAACTTCCAGAAATCAGTTCTCTCCTTCCACCATTGGGTCCTGAGGATTGAACCAGGGTCGCCAGGCTTGGTGGCAGTCATCTTTACCCACTGAGCCATCACACTGGCCCAGAAATGAGTCCCACTTCAGAGTCTTTAGTTGAACAAGGTGCCAGGTGATTATGCTTAGACTTCCCCTCTGAATGTTTGGACGTAGAATTGCTAAGACTGAGTGTTCGGGTGATAACTGTGGACAGACCTGCATGGGAAACTCCTGCTCATCCCTCCCCATTCTTTAGTTCTTGGAGCAGATGGAGTAAAAAAACAAGAACCTCCAGCATGAGACTGGGAGGAACAGCTGCTCCCTAGAACAGGAAAGGGGCAATGTGGTGCCTCCATGGTCTACGATGCCGTCAGAGGAAACAGAGGCGGAGAGGCTGTGGGGTTGTGAGAACCACAGAGTCTACAGCTGGGAGCTAGGGCTCTGCGGAGTAGCACCTGTGTCTACAAGGGGCTCTGATCCCCGGGCCTCGCTCTCTGGCCTCTCAGAGCTGGTTAGGACTGCCCGATCTGGTTTCCCTGAGAGGCAAAGGGCTCCTGCCCCAGTATCATGGAGATGCCTGTCCACTAACAAGCTTAGCTACCTCAGCTTACTCCGAACGCCTCTGGTGATCCTCCGGGCTGAGATCTGAACGTGCTAGTATCTAAGGTGACAGCTAACTCTGTGCACTCCAAGGCCTGACCTGTCAGACGGCCAGCGTGCGAATTGGCTGAGTGTCCTCACCAAACTTCTGATGACAAACCCGTAAGTACGCTTGCTTTGTTTTCTGGTGGACTTGGGACAGATGAGGAAGAACGGTCTCCTCTGGGACTGGGAGTGAGCTTTGTAGTCAGACTTCAGGAAGACGACTAGTAAGCTGTACAGGTCTCTAGGATTCCTTAGAGACCCAGCCTGCTCTCCCCTCTGACTGCCTCCAGAAGACCTGCATTTTACCAAGATCTCATGCCTCTGCTGGTCTCTTCTATGATACCCACTTTCCATGTGGAGTATCAGCTTCTTTCTCCTGGGCCACAATCTTAGAGGTCACCAAAGGAAAGAACTCTATTCTCCAAAGACAGCTGCAGCATCTCAGTAGCTCTCATAGGGTGAGATTCTCAGTTTGAAAAGGGAATAAGGCTGGGGGTAGAGATCACTGAGCCCCTGAGTTCTGTTCCCAGATACAAAACCAAACCCACAAAATCCCAAGAGAAGACGGCCATCTTATCTGTGCACCGTCTATCCTCTGCCTGAGCAGCAGGCAGTTCATCCTCTAGATGAGGTCACTGTATCCTCCAGACGTGGCCATTGCGATGAAAATGGGATTACAGAGAAGCAAAGCAGCCTGGGCACTGTGCAGTTTCTGCGGCCTTTCACCAACACTGCCCACCCACTCGCCAGGACACCACAGACAATGTCTAAGCACATAGTATGCTACTCAGACATGTGACAAATGATCTAATCTCTTCTGCAAATGTGGCCAACACCTGTTTATCCTCGGCCTCATTGCCACTGTCTGGACCTCATCTTCCCAATAGTTTACCATGCCTTGGCCAGACCAGGAAGAAAAGCTGCAGAGTCCTGGAGAAGTGTCCAGGAAAGAGCAGGTCCCTTATGGCCCAGGGGTCCTAAAGGTTATGGTCTTGCTGAACTAGAGCCAGGAAGTTAATCACCTCCAATCCTTCCTTCAACCCTGTGGAATCAGTATTATGATCCTTCATCACAGGAGACTGGTCTGAGTTAGTCACCCATGCTACCCATGGCAGGCCTAAAGCCAAACACTTAGCCTGAACCTCATACTCACAGCCAGCTGAAATGGGAGAATTGCCCTGGTAGTGAGCAAATTCCATCCCTCAGGAGGCAGCAGAACCACCACCACCACCACTACCACCACCACCACCACCTGGGGGACCAGTCTGCTGGGTGCTCCTGAGCTCTGTGCTGTGGACACTGAGGTCCTGCAGGGAGCACTGTTTCTCCAGTTGATAAAACAGGGCTGCAGGACAGGTGGGCACAAGAGTGCTCCTCCCTGCAAGACTGGGTCCACTCAGTGGGGACTGTTCCAGGACATGGATGCCATCCCATGGCACTCATGGACAACACCCTCATCCAAGCAGCACGCGGCCCTAGGGCAAGGAAGGTGCCCACTGTGTCTCCGTGCTGTTCTGTGGGCTGCTCCTCCCAACTGTGAACCCTTGGCGGTACCGGGCACAGAACCCAACCTCAGTGAATGACAGTGGAATAGAAGCAAACAGGTGAGATCATACCTTGTCCTGCTGAAAATAATGAGACCATCTGGAAAGGATCAGAGAGCCAGCCCCCCTCACGGAAACACTTAATATAGCATTGGAAAAGCAGCATCCCTTGGATATTTTCGGCCAACAACCCCAACACAACCCCAGACTTCAGTGAGAGCCTAGGGCTATCCTTCTCAGTGAGCCACACTTGTGCTGAACTTGCAGGAGTGCTGAGAAACCAAGGTTTGCTTAGTCTGAGGACAAGACACTGTGCCAAACACTCTACTCACTTGGGTTCACTCCGTTGCTGTGTGTTGGGTGCCTTCGGTGGGCCTCCCAATGCTGAGGACAGGGCATGGACTGTAGGAACTGTGGATTGAACACATGTTCCAGCTGAGGCTGGTGGCAGTCACAGGACTATGAAGCAAGAGGATCACCTGAGCCCAAGAGTTTGGGGAGAACCTAGGGAACATAGTCCTCAGTTCAGAGTCTCATGAAAAGAAAACACAAGACAACAATAACAGTTTGTAACCGGATATTCAAAACCAGGAAGGAAGTATGCTCCCGGGGCTGGCTTTCCCAGACATTATCTACCATGCCCAAGTGTTGGGTGTGGTTACCCCCACTTCTCAGATGAGGAAAGGGGGCACCAAGAATGGAAGTGACCAGTCAGTCCCTCAGAGCCTTGCAAGTCACCACTGTGTCACATAGGCTGACAGACTCCCAGCAATCTTACCCAGTGCTCTTGGCACCAATCAGTATTCAGTGTCGCCTCTGCATGGGACTCCCATCCCAAGGCCTCCTGGCTCCTCCTCGGTCCATCTCTAACCCTAGCTGTGGTCGCTGACATGCCTGGAGAGAGCTCAGTGTCTTGTCACTATCCCTGCCACCAACCAGCAGAATGTGACCCTAGGTGAAGGAATGGTTCCTCAGGCCACGGGAGTTCAAAGGAGGACCAGCAAAGGCTAAAAATTCCTAGGAAGCTTCCTGAGAAATGCTGGGATCCAGACAGACACAAAGAGAATGGAAAGGGCAGGCTGGCCCACCAGAGGGGACACAGGAAAAGGTCTAGGGGACTTGAATGGAGCACCGTCACTGTCTAAGAAGGATGGGATACAGGGAAAACACCTCCAACTTGCCGCAGCCTCAGCCTGGTATCTATGTTGGTCAGTCCAACACAGTGATGCCTGCAAGGCTGTTGGGATACTGCCTTTTCGATGGCTCTGATGGACCAGGTCGTTTTCCTGTGGGAGCCACGTGTCTGGGTCCTAGTTGGGATCCATGGACTGTGTGCCCACAGCAGCACCCTTTTCAGGTTTCTTTCAGAAGTGTGCTTCTGAGAGTCTGCTGAGGAATGATGGGAAGTTTGCCCAGCAGAAGGAAAAGCCTGTCCACAAGCGCTAACCCCAGTTCCTCTGGTCCAGTCCAAGGAGCTGTGTCCACACAAGCAGGTAAGTCATGTCTGTGGATCTACAGACCTAGAGCTCACCACCTCTGGGTTTTCGGCCAACAACCCCAACACAACCCCAGACTTCAGTGAGAGCCTAGGGCTATCCTTCACAGTGAGCCACACTTGTGCTGAACTTGCAGGAGTGCTGAGAACATTAGATGTAAGGGGTTAGAAGTGGAACTCAGGGATAGAGGGCTGGATGGGTAGGTAGCACAAGGGGGCCTGTGGTTCCACCCCAGCACATGTGCCAACATGCGTTTGAAGGTGGGCATCAAGCTAGCTGCAGCAATACGAGCCTGTACTTTCTTCATTTAGAAGGTGAAGAGAAAAGAATTGTGGGTTTATGTATAGCCTGGGCTACACTAGAAGAGCCTGTAATTTCAAATGGGGGTGGGGTTTTGCCTTGTTTGAAAACCATCTTCCCAGAAATATCCAGACTGGTTTGACCAGATACTATCTAAATGCTGTGTGGAGCCCTGGTGGTCCAGAGGATTAACCATCACAGATAACAAGATCACCCAAACCCAGCAGCACTGTTCGGAGGGGTGTGGCGAGCATTAACTAACCTACACTAGAGACTGCAGAGCCAAGACGTCTGAACGTCTGGGCTTGGGCAGACACTGTTGGTCCCCAACCCCCAGATCCCTTAAAGTGGCAGGGTTTCTTTTCCTGTTCTGCACTCAAGCCTCTTATCTCCCCAATACCAGCCCCCACAGGGCCCTGACACCCTGGGTGCCCCCTCATCTGCAGGGAGAGACCTGCAGGAAGAGCCCCGAAAACCACACCTTCCACAGAGCTAGCAGCAGGTGGCAGCTGCTGAGTCATCCTGGGCCTGAAGATGTACCTGGGCTCAGGGGGGCTGTTCTTCCCTCCGCCTGGTCTCCCAGGGAGGGAGGCCATTTCTCAATGTGAGTTTTCACTAGCCTGGTCTAGAAGCCCCGTGTCCCCCCAGGGCCTGGTCCATCTGAAGCTCACTGAGGCTCTGCCAAGTGCCAAGCCATGTGACAGGAGCTGAAGACACAACAAGATAGGTCTGTCCCTGCCCAGAGACAGCCACGGAACCATGCTGAGTGGCGCTCCTGTTAGATTTGTGAGTGTTGCAGGGAGAGTGTGCAGAGGGGTAGGTCGGAGTAGCCTTTCTGAAGAAAAGGAAAGTAAATGGGCCACAGGGCCAGCAGGAGTCATTGGGGAGCTGCACCTGCTAGGCATGCAAGACCACAGCTTTCGAGAGGGCCAGGAACCTTACAGGCTGCTTTGTCCCACGCTTATGGGAAAGAGACCTCCATAGGAGGGAGGCATCAGACATTCTCGGCTGCAGGAACACCAGTCTCTGGGCAGGCAAGACCCTGAGAGCTGAAGAGCTTCCTGCTGGGAGGGTTTCTGCTAACCTTTTAAGAGGCAGAGGTGGGAATGGGTGCCTTCTCACCTACAGCAGAGACTCTTCAGCCCCCACCTACCTCCTGGACCCTTGTCTGTCTGTCTGTCTCCTCCTCCTCCACTCCTGGGTCTCAGCTCCCTCTTGAGAGCATCCAAGAGTCCTGTGGGACCTTGGTACTTTGGGAGCTCCTTAGGGCCAAAGAACCCTTCCTGTGGACCTTGACTGCTTTTCCTGGCCTCCTGCATCCGTGTGCTAAGCAAGTCTCTCTTTTGGGGACCGTTACTGACAGGAGGAAGGAAATAGAGGTGAGGTAGGTGAATTATGTTTGTTTTGTTTTTTGGTTTTTTGGTTTTTCGAGACAGGGTTTCTCTGTGTAGTTTTGCTGCCTGTCCTGGATCTCGCTCTGTAGCCCAGGCTGGCCTCGAACTCACAGAGATCCGCCTGGCTCTGCCTCCCGAGTGCTGAGATTAAAGGCGTGCGCCACCACCGCCCGGCATGAACTGGTTTTTAACAGTCATTTGCAGGCCCCACAAGCTTCGGGGGGATTGTTGGACTGGGTGGGCTGGTGGCAGGCAAGTGTGAGCCCTCCATTTGCCACATGATGTCCCACCCCCAACCGGACTTCATGTCCACTGAGTCCTCAGGACCATTTCTAGAGTGACTGGTGTCAGCTTCACTCTGGTCCCATGACCTAGGCCAATCAATCCCTCCTCCACTGGAACCTTCGCCTCCCAGGAAGCTGGGGCCCTTGCTGAGCGGTGCAGCTGTCAACCAGCCCCTCACCCTCCCCTCCTCTCCAGCCTGGGTCTGTGAACAGGGTGCTATGGAATTGGAATTACGCCCTCCCCTTGCTGAGTGCCACATCAGGGCCTGGAGATGACTAGACACGCCGACGTCAGGGCAGTGGTAAGGGCCCAGTAAGAAGTAAGGTGATGGACGAAGACCCCAGTAGGTTCTGATGTGCAGGGTACAGTCAGGGTCAGCAGGACCCTTAGTCACATGCTCCCGTGGGGCACTCGCCCAGGTCAGGCCTGCAATAGTAGCCTCTGGTGGCACTTCTCAGGGGCAGCACAGGCCTCCCCTCACTGCCCTGAACATAGGCCACTGGGAGTCCAGCCCGCCCGTGCCTGTGCGCAGTGCCCTAGAGTTACAGAGCCGGTTCACATGGGCATCTCTCCAGGGCCTGATGGAGGAGTGACAAGGAAACCAGAGTCAGGTGTGTGGGGAAGAGCCCACCCTGGAGAGGGAGGCTAGCCTCAGCTCACAGACCCTGCTTTCTGTCTCCTGACAGCATGGCAGTCCTTCCTGGGGCCCCAGGCGGAGCTGTAAGCCTTCCTGAGTCCTCCACCCCACCCCCACCCTCAGAGCTACTGTGTGGCCCCACCACTGCCTTTCAGAGGCCCACTCAGAGCCATGTTGACCTGTTCTTCTAGCTGCAATGGGGTGTCTGTGTTTCGTCATGGGGCTAAGGATGGAACCCAGGGCCTAGCACATCCTAGACAAGTGCTGTCCCATTCAGCCAGAGCCCAGTCCTACAGGTTGCTAGTTCCCAGCTGCGGAGTCCTTCCTCAAAGTCTCTGTGGAAGTTGTACATACAGGGAGGCGTGGCCAGGAACCTGCTCCACCAGCCACACATATTGAAGGCCCTCCTGGGAACCCCCAAAGCTATCTGGGCTCTCCCCAGGTTCTGTAGAGCCTTCTGGGAGCATTTCAGACTCCAGAGTCACCCCACTTCAGGGAGCCTGTGGGAAGGGTGAATGAGGGGAGCCAGACCAAGGCAAGAATCAACTAGCTCACACCTTGAGGGAGGACTGACCAAGAGGGTGTGTTTCTCCCTCTATCTAGAGAGAAGCAAGGTCACAGCTGTGGCCCTGGGCAGCTTCCCAGCAGGTGAGCAGGCTGGACTGTCTCTGAGACTCGGGGAGCCGCTAACCATCGTCTCTGAGTAAGTCTCCAACACTGGGCCCTGAGGTCGCACTGTGGGAGAGGGCCCTTCCACTACCGAGGAAGGCACAGGCAGGGCCGCTTTGGAAAGGCTCCCATGTGACCATGTTGGTCTCTGGGTGGCTTTCTGGCAGCCTGACACACTTACAGGGACAGAGTGGGGTCAGGCCTTGGAACAGGAGGCCTTGGATCATGTGCTACCTGCCAGGCCCTCACCCAAGGAGGAGCCTGGGTTAACTGGTGTAGGAAGTTCTGGGAAATGAGTAGAAAAGGTGCTCAAGTTCCATCAGGAGAAGGAACTCACAAACTCCAAATGAAGGTGGCCCTCTGTGATCTCTCCACAGGGATGGAGATTGGTGGACAGTCATATCGGAAGTCTCGGGCAGAGAGTATCACATCCCCAGTGTGCATGTGGCTAAAGTCTCCCATGGGTGAGTACCTGGCCCAGGCCACCTCCAGGACCTCCTACACTCTTCCTACAGTGTTCCCTTTATGCATAGCCACAAGCTGAACAGAGCCTGGGCCCTGCCCTTCAGAGCAGCAGACAACAACTGTCATGTCTTGTTCACCTTGGCCCATGAGACCTGGGAGACCAAAGAAGGCCCCATAGAGGAGGAGGTGTGGTGTGGGGCTTTGGAGGGTGGTCAGGATCAAATGTCCAGAACACTGAAGGGGTTGTAAAGGGACAGGCACAGGCCATCCCAAAGCGGGAGACAAGGGGCACTTCCGGCAAGGGTGAGTGGATCAGCAGTGGAGCTGGAGGACTGGGCAATGAAGACAGAGGCAGGGGAGCCTGTGCTGCCCTGCCCGGCCCCCCTCCACCCACTCCCTCCCAGACACTTGGTAATGAAGTCTCCAGGCAAAGAAAGCCTGCGGCTGTCTTCATTGGCTGTTCCCCAAAGTCTCTGGAGTCAGGACCCTGAGAGCAAGGCTGAAGGGAGTCTGAGTCTCTGACGCCTGCTCTTCATGGTCCAGAGGTCAAGGGAGGCCAGAGGGTAAGGGAGGGAAGATCTTGTCAAGGTCATGCAGAGGCATATTAAACCCTTTTACTAGAAGGATTCTATTCAAGTCCACAAGCTCACCCTGTCTCTCTCCTTGCTCCACCAGGTGGCTGTATGAGGGCCTGAGCAGGGAGAGAGCTGAGGAACTACTCTTGTTGCCTGGAAATCCCGGAGGGGCCTTCCTCATCAGAGAGAGCCAGACCAGGAGAGGTAAACTCCGTCCCACACACCTCTCCAGAGTCGAGCTCAGGAGAGAGGACAGACTGTTGCTACACCTGAGAGTGGAGGTTTCTTGAGTCCAGCCAGGCCCTGACTATAAAAGGGCCTGAGGTGGAGCCAGGCTGTGAGGGCAAAGGAAAGACAGTTTACCTGGAGCAATCAAGGTCAATCCACTTTGTGGAGTGGATGCCTAGACTTGGAGTTGGGTCACCTTGCTTCCATGACCGTCCTTGGACAATAGAGCAAAGTGGGCGTGAACCCACTGGCAGGGATCCAAGCTTAGTCTATGTTGTGACAACTGGGATGCTGAGCCTTTAATCCCAGCACTCAGGAGGCAGAGGCAGGAGGATCTCTGTGAGTTCGAGGTCAGCCTGGGCTACAGTGTGAGTTCCAAGACAGCCAGGGCTACACAGAGAAACCCTGTCTTGAAAAACAAAACAAAGCAAAAACCAACCAAACAAAAAACACCTGGGATTTACTCTGATCAGCAGTGGTGATTTCTCCTTTACAAGACAGGACATGATAAGATCTCTTGGCAAATGTTCATTGCAAGTCAGGCACCCAGGAAAGACCTCAGGCACCCAGGAAAGACCTCAGGGGACAAAAGTACAGTTCGCTAGCGACAGTCTTGCAGACAGACCTCCTGTGTCTGCCCTGATTGAGCCTGCTGGATGGGCTATCACGGTCCACGCTCTGTACCTCCACCCTGCACGCTCTGTACCTCCACCCTGCACGCTCTATTTCCCTCAGGAGCTTCCTAGATTAATCCTTCCCCAGCCTCTCTTGCTAATTTCCAAGAAACATCAACCCCTCACCCTCTGAAACACCCATTGGCTGGCTGTGGATGGTGGTAGGGCTGCTGGCTCCGGTGCAGCAGCTGCAAACAGGAAACCTCAGTGCTGGTGGTGACTGGGACAGGAGCCCTGCAGACCTACCAGTTGTGAGCTAGAAAGCCACAGGAAGTGCTCAGCGCTTAGCCACCCCACCCCGCCCTCCCTCTGGCCTGGTGCAGTCCCGAGGGTGTAGTGACCACCCCTTGTGCCATTTTTTTCCCCTCTTCATTAAGAAGCAGCATATACAAGGGAAATTCATGGAGATGCCAGGAGGGATCTGTGAGGATCTTCAAGGTCCTGAAAGGATCCACAGGAATTCTGGGACTAGCATCCCTGTGGCCAGCACCTAGTGCAGGTCAATCAGAAAGCAACTCTCATCAGAAACCGAAGACCCTAAGTCAGAGCACTGTGTGCATGCCAGTAATCCCAGCACTTGGGAGATAGAGCCCAGAGGAGCAGGCGCTCAGTCACTTTCGGGTACAGAGAGTTCAAGGCATACGTGTTCAACATGAGACCTTATCTCAATAAAGCTCTCAAAAGCAGAGACAGGAGGATCACCTAGAAATTCAAGACCAACCTGGGCTAGGGGTGAGTTCCAGGCTAGCCAGAGGGACAGAGTAAGGTACAAAGTAAAATAATAAAGGCAAAGGGGCCTCAGAAAGTGTTTGCTTTGCAAGTGTGAGGTCCTGAGTTTGAGCCCCAGCACCCATGTACGAAGTCTGGCAAGGTGGTGTATGCTGGTCATCTCAGTACTGGGGAAGCAGGATGGGAGGATCCCTGGGGCTTTCGAGCTTATACATACAAAAGAACCAAAAGCTTCCCGTGCTGACCTTGGAGAATGGTTGTCTCCCAGGCATGACTGCAGCCTCTCCTCATGGCTTCCTTTGGACAGCACTGCTTAGGCTGAAGGGCGTAGCCTGGGCAAAGATGTCACTTTAGTTCATTGCTTGTGGGTCTCTGTCCAGGAAAGCAACAGAATTGCCTGCAGGGCGGCTACCCCACACCCGGCATGCCAAGTCTGAGTTCGGGGCTGAACATGCTCCTCTCTTACACTGCTGGCCTGGGGAGCTTGCTTAGGAAACTGGATCTTAGCTGTACATTGGAATCATCTGGGAGAAGCCTGCAACATGGATGCTTATACACCAAGCTTGAGTTTCTGATTTAATTGGTCAGGAATGCGTCCTAGGATCTGGAATCGGAAGGAGTGCCCTGGGGTGAGACTCTTCAACAGACAGGGCATGTGTGTAGTGAAGTAGAAGAACCTCCGGGGTGTGCTGGAGTCTGGAGTACTGGGGGTCAGACTGCTTCAGATGCTTAAATAAGTATGTCCTGAGTAAGTGGCTGAACTTTTATTCTGTGGTTCCTGGGCCAAAAACCAAAATTGATACTAAGTTCTAGGGCCCTGAGTGATGTCAGAGTGCTGGTTCTCTGTCTTAATGCACAGAAGTCATTGGGATGCTCTGGACTTGGTGACAGCACTGGTTCTCGCCACCACAGACCTACTGGTGGCAGAGGCCACACACCTGCCTCCCTCTCTGGGTGGTTCTCTGTTCTTCCAAAGTGACAGAGGAAAATCCAGAAGGAAGAAATAGAGAAGTCATGTTGCCTGTAGATCAGTGGGAGGGAGGGAGGGCAGGAGGGAGGAAGTGACAGACAGACAGACAGACATGTTATATCCTGTGCTTCTTGTCACATATGATGTCGTAACCACCGACTGGGTGACAGTGGGATCGTCTTTTCTCCTCTTTTTCTGCAGGACTGGGTATTGAACCCAGAGCCTCAGATACTTTTGGAGACAGTGTCTCACTAGTTTGTTCAGGCTGGCTTTGAACTCATTGTGTAGCCCAGGCAGGCCTTGTGATCCTCCTGCCTCCACCCGAGGAGTCCAGGATCAGCCTGGACCCAGAGTCCAGTGTAGCTCCGAGGCTGGGATTCCAGTGGGGGGTGGAGCCAATGTGTGGACCCAGGAAAGCCTGCAGCCCTGAGCTGTCAATAACACCCTCTCAGCCACCCTCCACATCAGCTCAGAGTCCCTCTAGTCTACCTGGTCATGTTCGAGGCCTGGGGAGAGCCAGGCTTGAGTTGGCCCCGAAGTACTGCTTTATGAAGGAGGTCCTGGAAACTGCACAGGCCACAGGACTGCTCCAGAGTGTGCCAGGATTAAGAACAGGCTCCAGGAAGCAGCATTCCTTCACTCCCCTGCTGTCACCCTGTCCCCTTTCTGTTGGACTCAGTAAGGGAGATCAGTGAGTAAGATGTGGCTCCTCCACCCAGGGGCTCAGCTCTGCCCACTCTTGGGTGGTCAACCCTTCCCCAGTAGTGCCTGAGTCACACTTCCCACACTGTGGCTCCCGGGGCCTAGGGGTCAGCATCTCTTAGGCTATTGGCTCCTAGGGGTCAGCATCTCTTAGGCCATTGGCTCCTAGGGGTCAGCATCTCTTAGGCCATGGCTCCTAGGTGGCCTCAGTGGAGGAAGTGCAGGCAGGGTCTGCCAGGCATTTCCCCCAGGTAGACCCTGATGGCATCCCTTACCTCTCTCAGCACCACTGGAATGCCCAACTCCAGAAGTTCTGGGCATGACTGCCTAAGCCTGCTAGAGCATCCTAGAGTCCAGGGCCACCCTCACTGCCCTTGGTCTGGAAGGTCGTCCTCTCGGCCCTCTGTGCCCTCTAGCTTCACTGCTTACCAGGTACTCTAAGAATACACCTCATTTTTTTCCATCGCTTCCTGACACATAGTCCCACAGCCTGGACAGCCCCACCCCCCACTTCTCCCCTGGGCAAATATATACTCGTCCTTCACGGTCCAAGCCTATCACCCGCCGCAGGCTGTGGCTCTTCAAAACTCCCACAACATCTTGAGCAGTTCTCTCTGGCAGCTGTGGTGAACTGACTTCTTGTAACAAAACTGAAAGCTATGCTCTGAGAACAATGGAGCTCACTGTCCCATGAGGACCACCGAGGACAACGTGAGGAGATGGGGCTGGCAGCAGCTCCTATCTACCGTCCCTTACACCTGCGTCTGGGCCTGTGTCTGGCATTGTAGTAGGGGCTCAGCAGATGTTTGTTGGAGAAATAAATGAGTCTGCCTCGGTGGGCAGGATAGATAGAGAGCTGGAGTAAACTGCCTTCCAGACAGGAAGGAGGGGGCCATGTTTAATACCAGACTGCAAAAGACAGGCCCAAACTTGCCCCCCACACCACCAGCTCCCTCATACCCATTCAGGCAGCTGGGCCTGTGTGCACCTAAGCACTCTACCTCAGCAAGGGTCTGGCTCCTGAGGGCCCTCTAAACTCATGGCCAGTGGGGGTGGGGGGGGAAAGGTTCAATGTGTGTTTTCTACAAGAAATGCCAAGGGTTGTTAAGTCTTCAAGTGGCCCACTATAATTCTAGCACTGGGAGGCTGAGGCAGGGGGATCACAGTTCAAGGCCAGATTCAGCTACATTGTGAGTTTCTGTCAAGAAACCAACCAATTAGTCAACCCATAGGACACCCAAGATCCAAGGTATAAAAAGCAAGACCGCAGCCATAGTCTCAGTGGCAAAGTGGACAGTGAACAAATAAATGCCCAGCACATTAAAGTGGAGATGAGGGTGTGTCTGTGGGTAAGTGTGCCTGTGCCCTGAGGAAAGGCTTCAGTCTAGAGCCAGTGGGGCTGGACAGGTCCAAGGAGAGGTCAGATTCTGCAAAGCCTTTCAGATGATGAGGACTTTGCTTATAAATGTGAAGAGAGGGTTCCAAAGAGAGTGACTTTACTGCTGTATGTGACAAACTGCAAGTGGGAAGCCATAGAGGAAGCAGTCACAAGCTCTCTCTGGTTGAGATGTGGTCAGACCCCAGGTGTGCTCTGAATGTCGCCGGTATCTTGGCTTGTGGTTCAGGCTTCTGCTGACAGTCACCTGGCCCAGCTGCTTTTAGGGCTGTGGCAACAAGGTAATTTGCCTCATGGGGAAAGAATGTGGAAAAAAGCTGCTCGCTTTGTGGCAGTCAGGGAACGGAAAAGCTTGCTGGGAAAAGGCTGAGCCTTCATGATCCCATCACCTCCCAAAGGCCCCACCTCTGAATACTGCAGGGCACTGGAGTCCCGCTGCCCTGCAGGGCTTTGTGAAGGCATCTCAGACCCAAGTCAAGACAGTGTGAGAGGAAGCAGTCAGAGACTCGAGTCTGGGGCTTAGTGAGGGATGGACGGGTCAGGGTTGTACACGAAGACAGGAGGATGGTAGGATAAATCTGAGCCATCCCTCAGGAGGCCTCCTCCTCCTCCTCCTTTTTCTTTTTTTTTTTTGGCTTTTCGAGACAGGGTTTCTCTGTGTAGCTTTGCGCCTTTCCTGGATCTCGCTCTGTAGCCCAGGCTGGCCTCGAACTCACAGAGATCCGCCTGCCTCTGCCTCCTGAGTGCTGGGATTAAAGGCGTGCGCCACCACCGCCCGATGAGGCTTCCTTCTTTAAAGGAAGGCATGCATCTTGGAGGTAGAATGTTCTGCATAAGAGGATGTCTTAGGATTTCTATTGCTGTGAAGAGACACCACGACCATGGCAACTCTTATAAAGGAAAACATTTAATTGGGGCTGGCTTACAGGCTCAGAGGTTCAGTCCATTATTGTCATGGCGGGAAGCATGTCAGTGTGCAGGCAGACATGGTGCTGGAGAGGTAGGTGGCTAAGAATTCTACACCTGGATTGGGAGGCAGCAGGAAGAGACTCTGGGCCTGGCTTGAGTATTTGAAACCCACCCCCAGTGACACACCTCCTCCAAGGCCACACCTACCCTAACAAGGTAAAACCTAATAGTGCCACTCCCTAATGACCAAGCATTCAAATATAAGAGCCTACGGGGGCCACTGCTATTCAAACTACCACAAAGGAACAGCAGGGACACAGGAAATACTTATGGGTGCTTGCTGCATGCCAAACCTGGTTCACCACCTGAATGCTCACAGCTGTTGAGATCAGGGTAATCGTTACCCCCTTCACAGTTAAAAAACAAACAACCCTGTGTGGCCAGGGGGTGTGCCTTAGCAATAGGGCCGGTGGACTCGGGTGGCAGGGGTACTACAGACTGCCTGTGTGAGACTGAAACCCAGGCAGCCTGAATTATAAAACAGAGGTCTTGGAACTGGGAGAGTACAGCAGTTCCTCAGGATTGGCTTTAGTTTATTTTTGAGAGTCCCACTGTAGCCCTGACTAGCCTGGCTACAGACCAGGAGGGCCTTCAGCAACTGCTTCTCTTTAAAACCTTGCTGTGTGAGTGTCCCTGCCAACGCCCTTGGCTGTTTCTGAATTTTAAATAGTTTTCCTGAATGTACATTCTGTGACTAGTTGTGGCTCATTCTTTTACTTTTTTTTTTTTTTTTTTGGATGGTCTCATACAGCTGAGGTTGGCCTCAAACTCACCATGTAACCAAGGAGGGCCTTGAATGTTATCCTCCTGCCTCCACCTCCCACATGCTGGGATTACATGTATGTGCCACCAGTCTATGCTACATAATTAGCACTGCATTCTATAAGGCACCATTCGACTTTGTGTGAGGCAATGGGACTACCTCACACCAAGTCTTTACCACTGAGCCACATCCTCCACACTTAGCATACCATTGAGCTCAAGCAGGCTGTGAATGTGGTATCTATTGAAAGCACTTCTGTTTTTCTCCGTGTACGAGATGGGACTGCTGGGTTTGAAGGTAACTTAACTGTTAACACTGACCTGTTTCCAAAGTGGCTTTCTCTCTATGGCCATGCTGCCCTCTACTTGACATTTTCACATTCCAACCCTCCTGCCACCTGAGTCTTATCTATACAGCCAATATTAATGCTCACTTACACCTCACCCAGCCTGAGGATCATAGGATCCGATCTATTACAAACAACAATCTTTGCCCTACCTGAAGGCTGGACTATGATCATTATTTTTTTCTTCTTCCAACCTGGGTGGGGCTGGGTCTCCAGCAGGGCCTTAGCTGTCTCCCTGGACCCTTCCCTCCTCAGGCTGCTATTCCCTGTCCATCCGACTCAGCCGCCCTGCATCTTGGGACCGGATCAGACACTACAGGATACAGCGCCTTGACAATGGCTGGTTGTACATCTCACCACGCCTCACCTTCCCCTCACTCCAGGACCTGGTGGACCATTACTCTGGTAGGACTTTTGCTTTTTCTTGTTTTTTTTTCGCTTCCACAGTAAACTAGATGAGGGGCCTCGGAGGTAGTCAGTTATGCCCTTAGAACCTGCTGGGGCTATCCAGACAGAAGAGGCATGTCCGGTCCTCTATCTGTCCTTAAGCAGCCCCCGTGCTGGGTGAGAGTGGTCTCCAACCCACGCTGACAAAGAACTAACTAGAAGCCAACTGTGAGCTTGGCCAAAATCTCACCACCACGGTGGTGGTCCCAAATCAAAGTGCCCTACAACAGTTTTCTTCACAGGATCAGACTGTGCTGTTCCTGGGTGCAATGCAATCTTTAACATTCCGGGTGCCCGCCCTATAACCAAGGCAGTGTCAAGGAGACAAGGAAAACCTCACTGGGCGGTGGCAGTGCACGCCTTTCACCCCAGCACTCGGGAGGCAGAGGCAGGCGGATCTCTGAGTTCGGGGACAGCCTGGGCTACAGAGTGAGTTCCAGGACAGCCAGGGCTACACAGAGAAACCCTGTCTCAGAAAACAAAGCCAGTAACAAACAAACACAGTAAAAAAAAAAAAAAAAAAAAAAAGGAAAACCTCTTGAGAAAGTTGACTGGGGATTTCTACAAGTTGGTTCTCCACAGCAGATCTGATGGGGCCACAGGCTGAGCACTCAGCTTGCTTTTCTTCAGTTTTACACGAACTAAGTATCACATAACTTAGCCCCAGCCCAACTTCTTCTATATCCCAGACTTCACTTCCTATTACGTTTTGGTGACCATGTCCCCAACATGCCAAGCACAGAAAACTTCCAAGGCAGAAGTTTGGGTTATAGCAAGGGTTTGGGTCTCTTCCACAGAGTTGGCAGATGACATCTGCTGTGTCCTCAAGGAGCCCTGCGTCCTGCAGAAGCTTGGCCCACTACCTAGCAAAGATCTCCCTCTCCCTGTGACTGTGCAGTCGGCATCACTCAACTGGAAAGAGCTGGACAGGTAAGGGAGTCCTGGGAACATTAAGACAGAACAAAACTTGGGCTCCCAACCCAGAACGGACACCTTCTAGAGCCCGCCCAGGCTTGAGCAGTGCTGAGGACAAGGTTGTGTCAGGGAAAAAGTAGGCATGGACCTCGGGGCAGCCTGGGTGAGAGGAAGGTTGGAGTGAGTGGGTCAAGAGTCCTGAGTAGGGAGGTCAAGATGGAGTTAGATCAGTTAGGAAATGAGGAGAGTTTGTCAGCAGGAGTAATATGGTGCTGTTCTAAGGGTAGAGACACAGAGGTGGCTCCTTACCGCTTTCTCCCGTCCACAGTAGCCTGTTTTTGGAAGCACCTGCCAGTGGGGAGGCATCTCTTCTCAGTGAGGGCCTCCGAGAATCCCTCAGCTCCTACATCAGCCTGACTGAGGAGAACTCCTTGGATGATGCCTAGTCCAAACAGAAAGTCAAAGGGGAACCGAGGTCGTGTCGTCACCTAGGACTCCAGCTCGGGCAAACCTGATGAAGCACCCCAGAGGCAAGGCTGGGAATGCAGAGGGCTGGGCTGGGATGCAGGCACATCCCGGGTCCCACCTGGACCTTCTGCTCTTTCCTCTCTAGAGGATAAGAAGTCATTTATCTCCTCCCAAGGCCTCGGACCCTCCTACAACCTCTGGTTCACGTGCATCGCAATTCAAAGCGGGGCCAGGCCTCTACGGAGAGTAAATTACTTCTAAGGTTTGATAAGTCAGTTCCTGAGAGGGATGTCCAGCACGACTGTGGAGTCCCTTCCCCCATTGTAACTGCTAATCAGCCCTACTGAAGGCAGAGATCGCCACTAGCATGAAGGAGAGAGAAAGATTAGGGACGTTCACAAGTCTCTTCAGAACGCACACACATCTCAGACAGTAGGATGGTCAGAAAGCGGAGAAGCAGAGCACCTGAGCTTACCACAGCGGCCCCACCTCTTCCCCAAGCAGAGCAAGAGCAAGTCTACATCTTCCCATGATCCCTCACAGCAAGTTGTCTTAGACAGCCAAGCTCTCAGATCCCTACTCAGTGTTCACCCCCACATAGCCCAGTCAAACCCGTCTTGCCATCTGGTGGTCAAACACAGAATGACAGCGTTTAAGTCTCCCACTGCAGACCAGTCACCCATCGAAGTGCTGGGCCGGGCCGGGCCATCAGGTGTAGGCCCTCTGCAATGTTAAAACCAAGGCAATAACCTTCACCAAGCCTGACAACCAAAAGGAGAAAGAGGCCTGGCCGAAGCCGCTATGGGAGAGCAAAGTGGGGGCTCTGCCCTGCCGACACTCCTACTGGGTTCTGAGGGTCCAGGTGAGTAGGTAAGCAAGGCTTTAGTTTACCAGGCATGCCAAGGCTTTCAGTTAGACTTGTTTATTCAAGTATCCGAAAACACTCTACAGTGGAAACCTATTAGATGGCTGCCCGTACTGCGCTATGGATCACGCACATGGTGTTTTCAGAAGACTTGAGATGCCATTGATAGTTTAAAAACTGTACACCTGACGGAGAACTAAGGAAGACAATTTAATGTTTCATCCGGATCCAGAGGCGCATTAGATTAAACAGCAGCTCCACTTGGCAAACAGCTGTTACATGATGGTATCCAAGAAAAATGGTTGATGATGGACAAATTCAGAAATGCTTCCCCAAAGGCAGATGGTTCTTTGAAAAGTTTCACAACCCTTGCAGAAAACGCCGATGCCCAACACGCTGATTCTAAATCCAAGAGACATGGGTCTTCTCAGTTCCATGTGGCGTGAGTGCCCCAACAAGCGTGTATCTGTGCTCTAATAAAAGGGTCCTTTGGACTGGACAGAAGAGATGGGAGCAAAGGCCATCAGTCATAGTGGATGGCAGTGTAAAAGATGATCCAAATGACCTAAAGGAGACACAAACAATGTTTATGCTGTCACCTGATCAACACAGCCGCCCCCATATGAAAATGGCAGTGCATAATTCTGAGGCTTTAGGGTATTTATAAGAATAAGAATCATCAATCCCAAAACATCACACCAAAGAGAAGGCCTGCTCCCATGGCCACTTATTTCCCATCCCTCCTTCCCCTCAGCTACTGGTGATCACTAACCTACTTTCTGTCCCTATGGCCCTGTGTATTCTGGACATTTCACTAAGGGGAATCATGTAGCCTTTTATGTCTGGAAACACTTAGCGTAATGTTTTCAAGGTTCACCTATACTACAATACCATAGAAAGTACATTTTACTCTATGGATAGTAAACATTTTACATTTCAGATGACAGCCATGAGAGTGGTTTACTTTTTCCTAACAGGAATAATGTGCTTATTTTATAAATACATATCTATCTACATTTTTGTTTTTTCCTTTCTTTTGGGACAAGGTCTCTCTATGTACTTCAGTCTGAATTCAAACTTATAATCCACTTTGCTGGTATTACAGCTGTGGATGACCACACCCAGCTCCACAAGGATGTATTAAAACATTTCCCAGGTTGGAGAGATGGCTCAGAGGTTAAGAGCACTGACTGCTCTTCCAGAGGTCCTGAGTTCTGTTCCCAGCAACCACATGGTGGCTCACAACCACCTAAAATGAGATCTGGTGCCCTCTTCTGGTGTCCAAGCATACACGCAGACAGAACATTGTATATATAATAAATAAATAAATCTTTAAAAAAAAAAAAAAAAAAAAAAAGGTGGTATTTAAAAAAAAAAATTTCCCAGTTTCTAATATGTAGTTGACAGCGGGACTTGGATTTACGTAAGTGTACAGAACTGCAGTCTACATCTTTTAGAGGACCTGCTTGAGGGTGTCACTGAAAAGAATAGTAGCTCAGCCAGGCGGTGGTGGCGCATGTCTTTAATCCCAGCACTCGGGAGGCAGTCAGGCGGATCTCTGTGAGTTCAAGGCCAGCCTGGGCTACAGAGCGAGAATCAGGACAGGCACCAAAGCTACACAGAGAAACCGATTGAAAACAAAAAACAAAACAAAAACCCAGTAGCTCAACCATATAGCATAAGTCACCTAGTGTGCTCCCTGAATGACCAACATCTCCTAAAATGAATAGACACTGTTGTAAAACTACCAGCCACACATACCATGAACAAGGCAAATGAAGTCATAAACCCTTCTTTGGTGAGCTCCCATGTGCCACCATATTCTTCCTCATCGATTTGTAGGTAGTTGCTGAAGTAGAGATACAGGACTCCTGCATTGATCAGGCAGAATCTGGAGTGAGGGGGATAAGTAGCAAACATAAACTGTAAACTTTGAAGCTGCAAGCATTCCCAGCCCTGTTAGGAGTCCCAGCCCTGAGTCCCAGTTTATTCTTTGCTTATGTGATTGTTGTCTCCTGACCCAGGCAGGGGATGACCTGGAGAGAAAAAGGCTCTAGAGGGACCTCAGCTCCCTCATCTGTAAAATGGGGCGGTGGGCAGCAGGGTGGGGGTGGGGTGGGGGTGTTGCTTGGATAGTTATTATGGTGGGAGGGGTGAATGAAATACACAGAAATATCTAGACCTTCAGTGGAACTGCCCACCTGACTAAGTTGGAGATTAACCAACTACTTTTGGTCAAAAGCATGTGCTAAAATATTTAAAGCATGGGGCAGGGGTCTCAATGGCAGAGCACTTGTCTAGCACACACAAAGCTTTGTGTTCCATTCCCAGCACTGCCCCTAATTCTTCAATCTACTTTTTTTTTTTTTTTTTGGAGATAGGGTCTCACTATGTAGCCTTGGCAGGCCTGGAACTCAATGCCACCCCAAACAGGACCTACACCAGCCATGAACCTCAACACAGCTCCAACTGAGTGCTGGACAGGGGGCAGACACATGTTTAACTGCTTTATAGCCTGGTAAAGCAGGCACACACTGTCTCTCTCCACACAATTCCTAAAAGGAGGCTATACTGCTTGTGACTGACTTGATGAACACACCCGTTGCCTTCAGCTTACCATCTACTAGGTGGCCAAGAACAGCAACCGGAATAGAGTTCAAACTTTCATGACACCCCCCACCGGCCTCTGACTCCTATGATGTACTGAGCTGATGCAGGGGTTGGAATACATGAGCAGAAAGGTCAGGGGTGGGATGCAGACTGTTTCAAAAGAGCGAGACATAGACTGACGTAAGGGAATCATTGGTGTCCGGGAGGTGAGAGGCTTCACGATCTGGTTTATACGTTTCTTAAGTAGAAGGATAGGAATTGGGAAGTCTGCTTTACACCTGTTACTAATGTCTCAGGACTTAACAGCAAAGGCATCTTGGGGATGAGCATGTCACAGAAGAGGAAATTAGTTCCAGAGGCTTTTTAAAATCAATGGTCTGAGAGTGCAACAGTTCTTGGATTTCACAGGAAACATAGTTCCCGACTATGTTGTAGCCACATCCGTATCTCCTGCCAGAAATCTTGGCACTGGGCCAAGTCTGGCCACATCCTCTTCCCAAAAGGACTTTTATTTTGGACAGGCTGACTTACTGATACTGGGAGGCTCAGATAATAAGCTGATGCTGGGCATGGTCACTCATGTCTGTAATTCAGCACTTGGGAGGCTGAGGCAAGAAGGATAGCTGAAGTTCAAGGCCAGCCTGGACAGACAGATGTACATGCAGACAAAATATTCACATACATTAAAAAAAAACAAAAAACAACGCTGGATGGTGGCGCTAAAGTGGATCTCTGTGAGTTTGAGGCCAGTCTGGTTTACAAAGTGAGTTACAGGACAGCCAGGACTGTTAACAGAGAAATACTGTGTAACACTGAAAAATGGGGGAAAACACTGAAAAATCAAACCAACCCAGCCCACAATGATAACAAGCCGCCCTGGAGGACCATGGAGTCAGAAGTGGGGCAACAAGAAGAAAAGGCTGACACAGCACTACCTTTCATAAAGGTGAGGTGAGAGGCAGGGTACAGAAAGGACTAGGGTCTCACACTGACTGAGCTTCCAGGATGAGGACCATTCTGTTATAGAAATGAGGAAGAGAGTTACAAAGATGTCAACACATTCACACAGTGGACTGGGTGACAGAAGAATATGAAAAGGGCTGGGTCCCAACTAGAGGCCAGCCTAGCTATAGAGCAAGATCCCAAAAGCCACAGGGTGAGCTATGGCTGGCATATGCCTGTAAACCCAGCATTTGAGAGGTGGAAACAAGATAAAGGGTTCAAGGCCGTTCTGGTATTTGGAGGGGGTATATGCAGGAGTCCAAAGCAGCCTGGGTAATACAGTGAGACCCTGTCCCAGTAGCTAAGGGCCAAGCCTGCCAACCTGAGTCCGGTCACTGAGGCCACGTGGTAGAGAGAACCAACTCCGAGTCGTCCTCTCACTTTACATGGGTGTTCCCCTTCATACACACAAAATAAATGCATGATATAGATATATAAAAAATATGAAAACACCAGTTTAAAAAAAGTTCAAAGCATTAACTGAGTGCATATCAATCATGTGCTGAGCTGAGATCCAGAGGTGGGTCTTCAATGCAAAACCTTAGTAGACAGTACAGCCTGTCAGCCAGTTCTCGGGCAAATTACAAATCAGGAGACATGAGAAGTTTTACCGAATCTGATGCTAACTGATGGCCACCACAGAATGAAATAAAGCAAGACAGGACTTGGACAGAGGGCAGCTTACAGTTACTGGAGAGAGAAGTTCATAGAAATGAGCACCAGGAAGTCATGCCTAAAGCAAGGGAAGCTGGGGAAGGGTTATGGAAACAAACAAAACCAAAGTTCTTGGTCTGTCCAATAGCAGGGGCAAAGTGCCAACCCAAAGGAAGGTAGGGTTTGTCCAGAGGGAAAAACTGGCTGTGGTGACAGTGTGGGACTGAATCCCAGAAACAAGCAACCGTGGAATAGTAAGCAGTGCCCCACACTGGGCAAGCCAGTGTGAAGTACTCAGTTTCTTGTTCTCAGCCGCATTTTACCACTTTTTATAAATCTAATCACACAACAATAGCAATAGCAGCGAACTGACTCATGGGATGCCTGATGAACTGAAGTCTGCATTTAGCAATTTATTTATATCATCCTATTTAATTCACCTGTCACTCCCGGTCCCCATTTTACTGATGAGGAAACTGATCTCAGCTAAACCCAAGATCATACAGCTTCAGCCGGGCGGTGGTGGTACACGCCTTTAATCCCAGCACTCGGAGGCAGAGGCAGGCGGATCTCTGTGAGTTCAAGGCCAGCCTGGTCTGCAAAGCAAGTTCCAGGACAGCCAGGACTGTTACACAGGGAAACCCTGTCCCAAAAAACAAAAAAACACAACAACAAAAAGATCACGCACAGCATGGACTCTTAATGGTTTCCTTGTACAATGCCTTGCTCAGTATAAAACAATGTAGAAAAGCTTTTAGTTAAGGGGCACTGAATAGTAGTTCATTCTTACTCAGTTTTTGTGTGGTTTCAGTTATCTACCATCAACACAGACAAATGCGATGTTCCAGAAATAAACATGTGCCATGTAAGTAAAATGCACAATTTGAACTCCAGGCTGCTCCAGGCAGTGTGTGAAATCTCATGCAGCCCTGCTTCACTGCACCACTCCTCCGTCAGCACCTTTATGCTGTATATGCTCCTACCTGTCAGTCAATGGCAGTGGCTTGGCTATCAGACCTGTTACCAGTATCAGTGCTTGTGCTCAAACCCTGGCCTTACTTAGTAACAGCCTCAAAATTAGAGAATAGCAATGTTAGCAATCTGGATACACCATAGAAGCCATGAAGTACTTTCTTTAAATATCTCACATTATCACTAGCAGGAGTAGTATAAAACTATTAGGTATTTTGAGACAAAGGAAAGGACCATGCAATTTTATTACAGTATATTGATATATTTTATTAGTTACTGTTAATCTCTCATGGTGCTTAATTTATAATTTTTTTTAAATGTTTGCTTTGTTTATTTTTTGAGACAGGGTCTCTCTGTGTAGCCCTGGCTGTCTTAGAACTCGCGCTGCAGACCAGGCTGTCCTTGAACTCAAGAGATCTGCCTGCCTCTGCCTCCCCGAGTGCTGGGATCAAAGGCGTGTGCTGCTGCTGCACCACCACCTGCACCACCACCACCACCACCACCACCACCACCACCACCTAAACTGGTTTTTTGAGACAGTCTTATTCCATATCCCTCACTGACTGGCCAGGAAATCACTATGTAGCCCAGTTGGTAACTCATGGAGAGCCTCCTGTCTCAGCACAAAGATTACAGGCATGCACCATCATGCCCAGCTTCTCATTTATAATTTAAACTTTATCAGAGATATGTAATTAGTTAGTTGTGGGTATCCACTGAGGGTCTTGGAATAGCTCTTGTCAACAGGAGAGACTATACACCAAATCTGTTTCTGAAACATACTACTCTTCACTCTCTAAAGAAACTAGTAAGAGCCGGGCGGTGGTGGCGCACGCCTTTAATCCCAGCACTCGGGAGGCAGAGACAGGCGGATCTCTGTGAGTTCGAGGCCAGCCTGGACTACCAAGTGAGTTCCAGGAAAGGCGCAAAGCTACACAGAGAAACCCTGTCTCGAAAAACCAAAAAAAAAAAAAAAAAAAAAGAAACTAGTAAGATATACTAATAGCCCTCAGACAACCAGCATAGCTTTCCATGGGAGGAGGGGTGAGACACAGGAGTGCTCACTTGTATTCCTGTGTGAAACGAGACAAGGCAAGCCTCCTCACTTCCAGAAGAGCTTGCTCACAGTTCCTACTTACCAGTTTAAGGCTTTTAAGTACAGTTTCACAGTACAGGCTTTCTTTCAGTAACTCAATAAAGTGAACCATACATGAGCAGGTGTCAAGGATGTTGCCACTGGCCAGGAGTGAAGCAAAATGTGCAAGGCCAAGGAGTGAGGGTGGTGCTTTTAAAACACAGGGACCTGAAAATAACTCCTGCCAAAGCCAAGAGTTGGTACATCAGCAAAATACAAAGCATAAAAAAAGCTCATCAACTACAAAGCTCCTCTATTTCCTCAACTTCCACAGGTACCAAGGTCAGGCCACAATTAAGAATACTGTTGCCAACCACTTGCAAAGAGTCACATTAGACCCATGGAATGAATAAACTGGCCCAGTCTTCAGGACAACAGCCTGACATGGGATGCTCCTGGGCCTGAAAGCTAAGAAGAACACTGCACCAGGCCCAGGAGTGCTAATGCTGCGGACATTTTTGCTTTAGTAATCAGATGCACATGGTATAGTCATAAAAGGAAAACAGAGCCTCTATTTGAAAAGAAACCACAAGCCAAGCGTGTAGACACATGCCTGCAAGCACTGGGAAGTGGGGGCAAGAGGATCAGGAGTTTAAAGGGCAACCTGGGCTACATGAGACCCTGTCCCTAAAAAAAAAAAACAAAACTTTAAAAAAAAATAAACAGAAATGAGAATCCTAAGCATAGTTGCGTGCTTCTAATCCCAGCACTTATTAGGCCGAAGTAGAACTACTCCAAGTGCTAAGCTCCAGAGAGATCCTATCTCAGACAAAACTACAAGAATGTGAAATACCCAAGACTTACCCTGCTATTCCCAAGAAGCCTCGCAAGGGCAAAATGCCCCAAATGACACCCAAGACCACAGCAATGATCTGTCGGAACCAGTAGATCACGTCTAAAAATTCATCCTATAAAAGAGACAAAATGTATGTATTATCTGGAGTGGCTGCCACAAGACAGGTATAGGAGAAGAAACAACAGCTTATTAAATTTTCTTTCTATCTTTTTTTTTTCCCAAGACAATGTCACTATATAGCTCTGGTTGGCCTGGAACCTGCTATGTGAACCAGGCCTGGGCTGTGGAGTGCTGGATTAAAGATGTGTACCACTAGGTTCAGCTTAGTATGTGGTTCTTTTTTGATTTGTTCCTTTTATTTGGTATGTATTTGCCTGAATGTATGCATGTGCGCCACATATGTGCCTGCTGCCCATGAACACTGGATGGAGAAGGAGGGCTTTGGATTCCTTGGAACTGGAGTTACAGATCACTGTGAACCACCATGTGGGTGCCAGGAATCAAACCCAGGTCCTCTGCAAAAGTAAGTACTCCTCTAAACTGGTGAGCCATCTCTCCAGTCCCCATAAGCGGTTATGTCATCACTTCTAAAGTGTGGTGAAAGACAACGTATTTAGACATTAGGTGACTAAAGAAACCATTACTTCTTAAAAAGAAAAAAAAAAAAGTTTCATGAATGCAGTGACTATGGGCACTGTGCTCCTGGCCACAGGTAACCCTTAGCTGACCAGGTAAGTCCTAGACAGTCCCCAGCGGGGGTAAAACTATTAACCTCAATACCCACCCTTTCCGTTTACAGTGACTTTTGAGAAAGCCACCGAGGAAGGGAAGTATGGTGGTGTGGGAAGTTCGGAGAAGTGCTTTAGGCATGTGCACAAAGAGCACTAGTGGTTTGCGAATTGCCCTGGACTCCAAACACCAGTCCTTGGACCAGAGAAGAAGAAGGGCAAAAAAATGACACAGCAGATCACAAAGACACTGCAGGTTTTGCAAGAGCTGGGCAGGGCTGGGGGCAGGCCAAGGGCACCTTCAGGAAGTGCTTCCCATCCCCCCCATACGGAACTGAAGGAAGGAAAGCCCAACTTCAGCAATCCAAACGACGTAAGGATTCCAAATGAAACATTCTTTTCAAACTATCTGCATGGTGACAGTCTTCGAGATCTCAGAATGGAGCAAGGGTGGGAAGCGTCCACGCTCAGGTCCTCTGAAGGTGACCACCGAGAGCATCTTGAAGTCCCCAAGTACTTCTTACCCATGTCTAGCGACATTTCTTCCTAACAGACACCCTCCTAAGGTGGTCTCAGACCCGGCCCTCGAATCTTAAGCTCATGAGGCATCTGGTCTTTTCCTCCAATCGTGCAAGGACAGGACCACCCCTCCCAATGTGCAAACTACACACACCGGGGATTCCGCACCCGGCAGGGCGCACACAGTCATCAGAAGCTCTAACTCCTCCGGATCCCGCGGAGCAAAGGGCGGAGGAGCACGGGGGCTCCGCTCGCTCCGGCCCGCACTCGCCGCTTCCGCGTGGCCAGGTGGCTTTCCTCTCCGTCAGGCGGGCGGCCAGGCCCGCGCTCGTCCACTGTGCGCCGGCACCCTCGCCACCCGCTCCCTGCTCCCACGGCCGCGCCCGGCCGGGGCGAGGAAGACCCGGGCCCGTCCCCCTGACCCGCACCCGCACCCGCACCCGCGCCCTCGCCCTCGCCGGGCCTCCCGCACCTTGTCGTCCCAGGCCGCGTCGCTCCGCAGCACCTTGCTCCACACGGACACCTTGAGGGCCCCGTTGGCCAGCTGCGGCTGAGGCGGCTCCTCCTTCCGCCGCCCGCCGCTCATCCTCCCGCCGCGCCGCCCGAGCCGGGCCTGGGGCGCGCGGGCCGAGCCAAAAGGAGTCGGGGTCTGGGGTGGCGGGTCTCGGCGCGCGGGGCGGCGGCGACAGTCCAGGCACTGAGGTTCGGAGGCACGCCGAGGATCCCCCTCGCTCTGCCAAGCCGCCGGCTCGCGAGCTCCACGGAGCAGGCGCCGCGGAGGGAGGGGCGTGTCCTCTCCGACGTGCGCACGCAGCCAATCGGCAGCCACGCAGCCGTGGGCCCGAAAGCTCGGCCACGCCTCCGTGCAAGCGCCTTCCGCTCAGCGGAAGTGACGGAAAGCTTAAGTCGGGCGCTAGGTAGGGTGAGCGAGAAGGGACAAGTGCGGCGCGGGGGCGACCTGAGCGCGAGGAGGCGCTGTGGAGACTGAGGAACAGTCGCTCTGAGGAAAGCCGAGGGTTGACGTTGCCGAGCGAGCCGCAGTGTTGCCGGAGTATCCCCTCCGGCGACAAGTAGAAGTGGCCTTGCAACACCTGCTCGCCTACAGAGCCAGGTCCTTAGTCCCCTCGGAGCTCCAGGCTGCCCCGCTGGAGTTAGCGTCTGTGCATTCTGTCCTAAACCTACAAGTTACTCACGACTTTGTTCACGATGTTAACTCATCCACCGTCATGACTATGGAAAAAATAAAGTTACTTCGCCTGGCGAGGGCTCAAGTCTACCTACCGTCTGGAGAATGGTGAGTCCCAGGCCATGTCAACCTGGGCTACAAAGCAGACCCTGTCTCAAAAGGGAAAAAAAAATGTTTTCTGTGTAACTTAACGACTCAGCTTGCCCAGCATTCTCTTCTGACAAACGTGAGGCTAAGATCCCAAGAGAAAAACTTCTTTTCTAAGGATAAGGCAAGTTGGAACCAATGGAGAACTTCGGCAGGGAAATAGAGAAGTAGTCGGTGTCAGGATATCATTGCGTCCTCACGGTGTGGTGTTAGCATTTCACAGAGGATGTCTTGGATGGCCAGAAGCAGCTGCACCCCTTGAGAACTTGTACATCGGTACCAATTCTGAGGCGTCCCCTGCCGTGGTGGTACCTGTCTGCAATCCCGGCCCAGGCAGGAGTTTTAGGGTGGCCTGGTTACCTTGCAAGATCCTGTGTCACAGCTAACCTGGGTTACGTAGCAAGGCTAGCCTGGCATACAAAGTAAGCGATGTTGTCGCAAACAAACAATGAACAAAACCAATCCCCACCTTCCAGATGGTGCCATACACAGTGTGCTAAGCCAATAGATCAAGGAGCATCACTTTTATGCAGTGAGTTTATAGAGGCAAAGTAATTTGCCTCGATCCACGGGACTAGTATCTGGGTCTATTTGACTCTAAATCCACGTTTTTCTTTCTTGCCTTTTTTTTTTTTAAACTAATCATTTCATTCCATGGTATGGGTGTTTTGCCTGCATTGTATGTCTGTGCACCACTTTATGTGCCTGGTGCCCAGAAGAGAGTGACCTAGAACTGGGGTACAGACAGTTGTGAGCTGTCATGTGGGTGCTGGGAATTGAACCTCCCAGAATTCTTAATCACTTAAGCCCTGTGCTGTTGCTCCAATCACTTTTCTGTGTGTGTGTGTGTGTGTGTGTGTGTGTTTTAGATAGGATCTCACTATGTAGCCCTTGGCTGGCCTGGAATTTGCTATGTAGACCCAGGCTAGCCCGAAACTCACAGAAACCCACCTGCCTCTGACTCCCCAGGGTACTGAGATTAAAAGCATTCCGTGTGTGGGTCCATGCCTTTAATTCCAGCACTCAGATGGCAGAAGCAGGTGAATCTCTGTGAGTTCAAGGCACCTGAGGTGAAGACCCAACTATAGGTAAAGGTTGATAGATACAAAAAACAAGGTTCTGGTTTTGTTTGTTTGTTTTGTTTTTGTTTGTTTGTTTTTGTGAGACAGATCTCTTTATATAGCCCTGGTTGTCCTGAACATACTTTGTAGACCAGGCCAGCCTCGAACTCACAGAGATCCTCCTGCCTCTGTCTCTCAAGTACTGGGATTAAAGGCTTGTGCCACCTTAAAAAAAAAAAAAAAAAAGACTGAATCTCACTCTGTAGCATAGGCTAGTCTTGAACTCCTGATCCTTCTGTCTCCACCTTCCAAATGCTAAGATTACTCCAACTCTGAGTAGTCCACATGGGCACATCTGCACATGCATGCACACACTCACACAAACACACACACATAAACATAAACTTGGGGGGCGGATAATGAGACAGAGTCTCATTATGTAGTCCGAGCTGTCTTGGAACTCACTGTGCAGACCAGGCTGGCCTTGAATTCACAGAGAGCCTCCTAAGTGAAGGGGTCCGAGGCCTGCAGCAACAGAATAGCTCACTGTAGTTTTGATGGACATCTTCCTAATGGTCAGGGATGCTGAACATTTTTCCGTGTGCTCACTGACTGTTTTTTGGTTTATTTGTTGTCTGATTTTTCATTATAGATATTACTAACCCTATGTGATTTACATTCTGAAGTATTCTGTGGGTTATTCTGTTGCTAATGCCATTTATTTACTACAAAGTTTTTCTCAAAACGAAAGAAAAACTTTGTAGTAAATAAATGGTCAATATGCCAGTTCTGATATGTAGGCCGAGATAACCTTGGACTGGCTTTGATCCTTCTGCTTTTGCCTCTTAGGTTCTGGGATTACAGGCCTGTGCACCCATATAGCCCAAACTTGTTCATTATATTTTGAGACAGAGAAGGGTGTCTCCCCGAGTTGCCCAGTTTAGTCCCAAACTTCTAGGCCCAAAGATCTCTTGCTTCAGTCTCCCAGGTAGCTGGGAGCACAGGTGAATGATTTCAACGTTACTGAAGTCTAACTTTGCCAATGTTTCTTCTGCCAAGAAAGTATTGGCAAGTCTTCTATTTTTTCTCCTAAGAGTTTCATAGGCTAGCCTACCCCACAGGTAATCCTTATGGCTCAGCCTCCCTAGTGCTGGGACTGCAGATCGGAGTCCCCAGTCCCAGGCTCCCCCACCCCCTTGTTGTCCTGGCTAAGCAAGCCCTCTAACAGAGCTACAACTTCACAGTCTGGTTTAAGTTAACTTCTGACCTTTTGCCTGTAGATGTTCAGTGTTCTAGCACCGTTTGTTGAAACAACTGTCTAGGACCTAGTCCCCTCCCAGAGTCTTTTCCACATTGGCCTCACACCCTTATTGAGAATAATTTGACTATCTCTATACAAGTGAAGGCTAATTTCAGGGTTCTCTATTCTACTTTATTGGTCAATATGCCAGTTTTTATGCCAGTGCCATATTTTTTAGTTCAGTAACTTTGTAGTTTTTTGGAAATGACTTCATGCATGTATATAATGTATTGGTCATTTTCACTGTCTAGTTACTCTCTCTCATCCTGGCCCCACTCCCTCTGAACCTGCTTTCTCCCCAGAAGGCCCCTCATACTTTCATGTCCTTTTTGTTTGTTTGTTTGTTTGTTTGTTTGTTTGTTTGTTTTTCGAAACAGGGTTTCTCTGTGTAGCTTTGCGCCTTTCCTGGAACTCACTTGGTAGCCCAGGCTGGCCTCGAACTCACAGAGATCCGCCTGCCTCTGCCTCCCGAGTGCTGGGATTAAAGGCATGCGCTACCACCACCTGGCTTCATGTCCATTTTTTTCAGAAGATTTTCATTTTATTTTTTATGTGTATAAGTATTTTCACGGCACGTATCTGTATGTAGCACTTTTGTGTTTGGTGCACATGGAAGCCAGCAGAGGGCGCTGGATTACCTTGGAACTGGAATTGAGGTGTGATTGTGAGCAGCAGCATGTGGGTGCAGCCTGTACTGTGTACTGTTTTAAAAAAAAAAATCTCACTTTGCAGCCTTGGCTGTCCTGGAACTCACTCTATAGACCAGGCTGGCCTGGAACTCAGAGATCTGCTTGCCTCTGGCTCCCAAGTGTTGGGATTAAAGGCAGTTAAAAAATTTTAAATTAGCCAGGCTGTGGTGGCACATGCCTTTAATTTCAGCACACTGAAGGCAGAGGCAGGCGGATCTCTAAGTTCCAGAACAGCCAGGGTTACACAGAGAAACCCTGTCTCAAAAAACCAAAACAAAAAAATTGAATTAAAAATTTTAATATACTTTCTGTGTATTTGGGTGTATATATCAGAACATGCATATGGTCAGAGGACAGCTTGTAGTTCTCTCCTTCCACCGTGTGGGATCAAACTCACGTTGTCAGATGTTGGCAGCAAGCACCCTTACCCACTGAGCCAGCTCAAAGGCCCTCTATAGGGTTTTCCACCTGATTGCATCATCTTTGAACACAACTTTTCCTTAAATGAGACAGGTCTTTATGTAGCCCAGGATGGCCTTGAACTTGCTTCATAGCCAAGGATGACCTTGTATTTCTGATCCTCCTGCCTCTGCATTCCAAGTGCTAGGATTACAGGTATTTACCATCATGCCAAGTTAGTTTTATGCTGGGATAAGGCTCAAACGCAGGACTTGCATGGTCTCTTCCGACCGAGCCACATTGCCAGTCCATTTATTTATTTATTTAGTCATTCATTCATTCATACAAGTATTACAGAATTGCACCACACATCCATCCCCAAACTCCTGCAAATAGTTTCTACAGGAGGGAAAAAAAATCCCAATAAATCTTGGTGTTATAGATTGTGAAGTTCAATTTTTTTTTTTTTTAAATTCTAGTGTGATCACCTGACACCTGACAGCCTGGGAATTGAACCTGGGTCCTCTGGAACATCAGTCAGTGCTCTTAACCGCTGAGCCATCTCTCTTTCCCTCAATTTTAAATTCTTAGAGTCTGAGATGTTTCTGAAGGTTTGTGGTTAGAGGATCTGGTATCCTGCCATGTAGCTCAAGGTGACCAGCAAATCAGAGGTTAAGTAAGATGCTGGAAACCCGATCTGTGCGTCAGGGTTTTGGAGGAAGCCTAGCTGGCAGCCCAGGTAAGCCCTAGCCTAGAAGGTATGTGACTAATGGGTGAGACTGGCTGGTTCTCTTTCTGAATTCTCTCAGGCTTTCTTATCTTAGAAAGTGAGGAATCTGGCTGAATCCCAGGGCATCCATCTGGTTAAAATAAACATCTTGGGTGGTCTGAGATGGAAAAGAACCTGAAGTCAGGTTTGGAGGTGGGAGACAGATTTGGAAGTAGTGCACAATTTGTCTTTGTGAGGTGTAGGTTTTTAGCATGTCAGACCTGTGATCTCAACCGTTAGACTATTTCCTTCCCACTGAACGCCTGTGACCCTGACAGCTGTTGCAGTGAGACTGGAAAGGAAGGTATGCTCCGCTGGCCTCAGATATACACCGAGGGATCACAGCAACCTGACATACTGTGGGGAAAGTGACTGCCTGCCCATGCTATGCAGAAGACGAAGACAGGGAAGGAAGGCGTACTTGTGTAGTGTAGTTTGGGCACACTCTGTGATGTGGAGCCCATGGATGGGAGGTTAGTGATTCAAGTGGTAACCCCAGGAAGTTGACCTTCAGGTCATTATAGACTGTCGAGGGCTCAGAAGCCAAACAGTTCAGGGAGAATCCATCCATCCATTCACCCATCCATCCATCCACCCATCCACCCATCTATCATCTATCTTTCTATCTATCTATCTATCTGTCTGTCTGTCTGTCTATCTATCTATCTAGTTTTCCTAGACAGGGTTTGAGTGGCTTTAGCTGTCCTAGAACTCAATCTGTAGATCAAGCTGGCCTCAAACTCAGATAATCTCTTGTCTCTGCCTCCTGAGTGCTGGGGTTAAAGGTGTTTGCCACCACTGCCCACCTTTACTTTATTATTTTCTTCTTTTTTTATTTTTTATTTTATATGCATTGGTGTTTTGCCTGCATGTATGTCTGTGTGAGGGTGTGGGACCCCTGGAACTGGAGTTACAGGCAGGTGTGTGTGTGTGTGAGAGCTTCCATGTGGGTGCTGGGAATTGAACCCAGGTCCTCTGGAAGAGCGGCCAGTACTCTTAACTGCTAAGCCATCTCTCCAGCCCCTAAGACCTTTTTGTTGTTGCTACACAGACAGGGTTTCTCTGTGTAGCCTTGGCTTTCCTGGAACTCAATCTGTACACCAAGCTGGCCTTAACTCAAGAGATCTGCCTCCCCGTCTCCCAAGTGCTGGGATTAAAGTTGACCACCACCACCCAAAAGACCTTTTTTTCTTTTATCTTGTAACTACTAAGATTGGAGGCTGGGGTATAGCTCACTTGTAGAGTGTGTACTTAGCAGGTGGGAAATCTCTAGTTTGGTCCCAAACCCTCCCTCCCAAAACACACCAAAAGGCCGATGTAGTGTCTTGGGAGGCTGAGGCAGAAGGCCCCTGAGTTTAAGGCTAGCCTGAGCTACATAGTGAGACTGAAAACAAAACAGAAAAGCTGTCCTTACCAAATGAGGCTGTTCTACGACACGGGGTCATGCACTTGGCTTCAGGAAGAGGCATCAGTCACATTCACAGGTCAGTTCATGAGTATCATCAACCTACAGCTTAAGGGTTGTTTTTGGATAGACAAGGCCTTATATGTCTCCCGTAGCCTCCAACTATACAGCTGAAGATGATCTTGAACTTTTCAAGTTATTGTGTGTGTGTGTGTGTGTGTGTGTGTGTGTGTGTGTAACACATGGGCCATAGTACATGAGAGATCGAAGAACAACTTGTAGAGTCAGTTCTTTTTATCACACAGGACTTGAACCTGATGGTTAGGCTTTGCAAGCAAGCACCTTTACATACTCAGCCAACTCACAGGCTGAAATGTTGTCATAATGCTACCCGTAAGAGTTCTGGGATTACAGGTATGAGCTACCATGCCTGGACTATGACGCCAGAGTGAGTGCTGGGGAGCGAACCCAGGGCTTCATGAACACTAGTACTCTACCAATGGGCTATCTGTAGCTCCCAGAAACCAGTTTTGGTTTTAGTTCTTTTAAAAGTATTTATAGAAGCCATTTCTCCTTACGAAGTGAGACCATTCTAAGCACTTCTCCTTTCTAGGGTGTATTAGTCACATTCTCATTACCATGGCCAAATTCCTTGAGAAATGATTTTTCTTAATATTTATTTACTTATTATATATACAGTGCTCTGCCTGTATGTATGCCTGCAGGCCAGAAGAGGGTACTGGAGCTCATTACAGATGGTTGTGAGCCACTATGTGGGTGCTGGGAATTGAACTCAGGACCTCTGAAGAACAGCTAGTGCTCTTAACTGCTGAGCTACTTCTCCAGCCCCCCTTGAGAAATAATTTAAAGGATGAAGGTTTCTGTTAGCTCAGGCTTGACTAGAGGTTAAGGGTAGAGCAAAGGTGTTTTCTGTACTCTAGCATGGAAAGGAAAGGAAAGCAGGAAAAGGATGGGACCACCGTATAGACTCTGCTAAGGCAGGCCCATCCAGTGACATTTAGTCCCCTCCTCTTAGTTCCTACTCCCCTATGTCACTAAATTATAAACCCACCCATTGACTAACCAGTTATAGCTTTCATGATCTGTAAAAAAAAATTTTAAAAAGCCCCTTCCTGGGGCTGGAGATGGCTCAGTGGTTGGGAGCACCGACTGCTTTTCCAGAGGACCTGGGTTCAATTCCCAGCACCCACATGGCAACAACTGTCTGTAACTCTAAGATCTGACCCCCGCCCCAGACATACATGTAGGCAAAACATCAATGTACATAAAATAAGAATAAATAAATTATATTTTAAAAAAGCCCCTTCCCATCAGGTTGCAATAGCTTCCACCCCCCACCAACACAGGTTTGTGTAGCTGTCTTGGACCTGGCTTTGTAGACTGGCTTGCCTCTGCCTCTTGAGTGCTGGGATTAAAGGTATGTGCCACCACTGCCCGGCCTGCAACAGCTTTTAAATAAAGGGCCTTCAGGGGACATTCAGACCCAAACCAATATGGGAATATTACTTTTATATTTTTGGTTGTGAGCCTGTCCTTAAGAGCTGAGCCATCTCTCCAGCCCAGACATATTACTCTTGATACCATAGCATCTCGATACGTAGCCCAGGCTAGCTTTGGAGTCACTGATCTTCTTGCCTCTACTTCTAGAGTACTAGAACTGTTATTAGGCCCAGCAAAAACAAATCTCTTTTGAGGTTTACCTCTTCCTCCTGGGCCTAAGTGTCTAGTTTGGGGATACTAACAGGCCCTGGTGAATGAGTAATGATGAGTACTGGAGTTCAGTTTTTTTTTGTTGTTTTTTTGAGACAGGGTTTCTCTGTGTAGTTTTGGTGCCTGCCCTGGATCTTGCTCTGTAGACCAGGCTGGCCTTGAACTCAGAGATCCGCCTGGCTCTGCCTCCCGAGCGCTGGGATTAAAGGTGTGCGCCACCACTGCCCGGCTGGAGTTCAGTTCTTTTAACTGGAGGATCAGGAATTCAAGGCCAGGCTGTACACACCCACACACAAGCACCCCATGGTGGCTCAGTTCGAGGGCACCCTCTTCTAACCTCCAGGGGAACATACATACAAGCAAAACACTCATGCACATGAAAGAAATCTGGAAAAAGAAAAAAAAGCAAAAAACCCAACCAGCCATTTGATTGTAGAAGTGCGTAGCCTACACTGATGTTAAAGACAGCTGGATGCTTGGCAGTGGTAAACCACTCACCACTACTTGAACTGGGTCTGGACATCTCTCAGTGACCTTGAAGCAAGAGACTTAATTACAATCCTAAATTCATACCTACACTGGCTGAATTCAAGCAAGTAACCTAAACCCTCACTCAGTTAACTTTTCCCAGGTCGTGGGCCTCTGTCTTGTATATGTGTACGAAATAACCAGATGATCACTGCAGAGGCCCAGGCACACAGCACAGCTGTTTACTACCGTTGTTGGTTTTATACTTTAGGCCAGTTACCAACTTGATAGGACAAAATGCATCCAAAGCCAGTGGAAACAAATGGGAATTCACAGGCTGACACAACAGCAAAGTGGGGTCAAGCTGACTTCAGCTGTGGCTGAAGCAGATGTGGTGCAGATCTTACAGCTGCTTTTTTGTGGGGGTTGTCAAATTGTACTATGCTTTTCCTCACTCAGTGGACCTGCCAGCTCCCGGGTCCACTCGTCCGTCACTTAGCAAACCCAGTGTTTACCAGTGATCAGAAGTGACTGGCCAGGCTTACAAGGAATGTAGAGTGCTAACCCAGGTGGCTAGAGGGACAGTAGAGGAAGCAAAGCAGATAAAAACGCAGTTACTGGGCTGGAGAGATGGCTCAGAGGTTAAGAGCACTGGCTGTTCTTCCAGAGGTCCTGAGTTCAATTCCCAGCACCCATGTGGTGGCTCACAGCCATCTGTAATGAGATCTGGTGCCCTCTTCTGGCCTGCAGGCAGACATGCAGACAGAACACTATGTATAATAAATAATTAAATAAATCTGTTAAAAACAAAACAAAACAAACAAACAAAAAAAAAAACACGCAGTTACTGGCCAGGAGGTGGAGATGAAACCTTTAATCTTCCCACTCAGGATCTCTGAGTTTGAGGCCAGCCTGGTCTACAGATCAAGTTCTAGGACAGCCAGGGCTACACAGAGAAACCCTGTCTCAAAACCAGAGACCTCAGTGACTGCTCTGTCTCAAAAGCATAGTGGATCCAATCAAGAATTCAGTTTGACTTTTAAAAATAAAACCAAACAACTTTATTTGACAAAAGACAAAAACCAGTTATTTACAGTAGTTTTTTGCTCAAATATTGTTCAATGGGACAACCATACTTCAGATTTATCTTACAAGCAACCTAAGCAGAGACTGCCCCACCCCTTAAGACGCCCCACTGTATTCCAGGAGGGGGGAATGCCAGAATATGTCAGCAGCATGGCTCCCTCCCTCCTCTCCTGCTCAGTGCACTGTGGAGGAGAAAACTCCCACTCACCCCAATGTCACCTCTACTGTAGGCATCCTGTAGCAATCACTGGGGATCTAGGCTCACAGACAGTTGGGGTAGAAGTGGGCAAACAGCAAATTCTACGAAGCTGCCATGTTCATCCCCCCAGCAGTGCCTCTAGGGGATGAGGGTGCTGGATCCCCTGGAGGGAAGTGGGAGATCCAGCCTAGGAAGGCAATCTCCTACAGAGAGCAAATCTCTCAGTTCCCACTTGCACAGCAAGGGATGGGGCTAAGCCACTCAGGAGAGATAGGGAAGCCTGTAAGAGTGACAGGGGGCTCCCTAGAAAGGCCAGAATGGTTTATCTTTCTCTGGGACAGGCACTCCAAGTCAGTGATCACCCAGGAGCCTCTTCTCTGTTCACAACCTAGTAAACATCAGGAAATTACAGTCAGGACTCCTCAAATCTTCTGATTATTCAGAACACAAATATTTCGGTTAATAAAAACCTAGGATTAGTGTTTCTTAGGATATATAAAGATGGGGTATACTGTTGCTGAAAACTAAAAAAAAAAAACAAAAACAAAAAACAAAAAACAAAAAAAAAAACCCAGCAAAGTAAAAAGGGGGGAGGGGAGAGATTAAAACCACGTGTGATCAGTTTCCCCAGGAAATTTAGGCAGGCCCTTGCAATTCCAACTTGAAGGGAGTTGAAACAGATGCAACTCTCAGTGTTGGGCCTGTGCCACACTAACCCCTTTCCCCCAAGAAGGTTCCAGCTGCCTATGTGGAACAAGCGGCATGTCTGAAGAGTCTCCTGACCAGTAGATGGCTCACTCTTCCCCAAGTAGGAGATGCTGGTGCTACTGACTTCTGACCAAGCTCCTGAATGAATCCAAACAGGCTACAAAAAAGGGAAGGGGAGACAATACCCAAAGGAGAGAGAGAAAACAAACTGTTTCAGTCTAGCTTAACCACCCCAAAGTAACAGCAAAAACAAGTATGTCTCTAGTCTTATCGTCCATCTCGGCTGTGTCTAAATGGCTATCTGGTTCAGTTGGACTTTATCCACTTCTGTGCCTGGTGCAAATAATCCAACACCTGTAGGTATTTTTCTTCTGTCTTTTTTCAATAGAGTAATCCAAACCAAGAATCAAACAACCACTTCCAGCTGGAATTCAGCACGGCTGCAGAGATTCTGCTGGTCCCTTATACAATCATCCCCAGTGCAGCGGTAGATCACCCCGTTTATAAAGCTCCATAGCATAAGGTGCTCTCTCCCCACACCCGTGCTTCTAGACTACCTACTGCCATTAACACAAACCACAGCAAAAGGAAAATAAACAACTTAGCAAAAACCTAAACATTCAACTGGAGTCGGTTCTGTGACATCTGCTGGGCCTTTTCCTTTGTCCTTTGAGTAAGCTGGAATGTGCACACCTGGCCTGACCGAAAGAGGCACAGCTTAGGGGCAGCTTGGACCTAGCTCAAGTCTGAACTTGGCAAGTTTCCGGAGCCTGCCGAGGAAAGCAGGCTGGAGTGCAGACGTCCAAGGCTCTCTGGAGAAGCAGCAGCAGCAACACCTGGCTCTGGCGCCTTGGTCTCCTCAGAGAGGAAGCTTGACGGAATGCAGTCAGCAAGAGTACAGGCCCCCGTAACAGTGCAGCGACACCAGCTGCTGTCTTTCTGCTGAGGACCTCTGGACAGAGATGATCCCGATGCTTGGCAGTGATCCGTAGATAACCCTCTGTGTGAAAGGGAAGTGAACCAGGAACCTGGGACAGCTGGCCTGAACCTCAAGCCACCTGGTAGCAGGCGCCTACTTGGCATTTTCCGAGACTAGAGGAAGGGGAGTGTGCAGTAATGGAGGTGCTGGATCCTGCTGCTTCTGAAGCTCCATCTCAGCAGCCCTCTGCAATGCCACCTCCACCAGCAACTGGAAGCTGCTGAAGTCTTCCTTGTCCTGCTCTGGGGGTGTGGGTGGCGGCGTATTGAAGAGTCCACCGGTAGGGCTTCCAGCCTCAGCACTGGTCAGCAGGGTGAGTGTGCTCCCAGGGGTCACCAGGGCCTTAGGGGATTCCAGCTCCACTTGTGGGAAGGGGGCTGCTGGCTTTTCACCTTGGCTTGAGTGGAGCGGCATGGAGCAGACGGACAAGGAGAGCACGTTGGAGGGGGCCGGTACAGACACGGCCAGCAAGGAGGGGCTGCCGCCCCTGGGGAGAGCCACATCAGAGGCTTTGCCCCCACGGCGGGAGATGGTGAACTGATTGGGGTCTTTGCCATCCTTCCGAAGCATGTCTGGGAGAAGGCGACGCCGGGCATTGATGAACCAGTTACAGATCTAAAACAAGTGTTAAGAGACTCATCAGTTAACTCCATTCCAATCAGCTATGCTGTGCTTATCTAAGCTGCTCTAGTACCAAGACAGACTCGGGAGTTAGATATTTTGGATATTGGGGTGAAAACCTGACAGAACAAAGAAGCAGTGGAAGAGCGACCAGCTGACCTTCTCTCCACACTTCCCAGACCACAACGGGGCACAAGAAAAAGCCCGAGAATCTCCAAGTCCCTCCCTCCTTCCTTCCTGTTCTCTGCATTCTCTATCGCAGCACAGCTACACAGTGCTCGTTGTTCCAGACACCAAGACCCAGCAGCAAACCTAACAGACGAGATGCTGGCCAGTGGCAGGGTGGGACAATGGTGGTGAGGGAGCTAATGGTGGGGAGGACTTGAGGAAACAGTTTCTGAGGAAGCAGTTTTCAACTGAAATTTGAAGGCAAGTGGGTATGGTGGGGCACACCTTTAATCTCAGCATTTAGGAGGCTGAGGTAGGGAGGTTCCATGAAAGCCAAGGCTAAACAGTAAAACCCTACTTCAAAATAAATAAAAAAAAATCTGAAAGACAAGCAGTTGAAATGGGAGATGGGTAGGGAGCAGGAGTGAGTACTGGCAGCAGAGTGCTCACGAAAAAAGTGCTGAAGGCAGGCATGTGTGGCTGGGCTCAGTGTGGTTATCACCTCCTAGGATAAGGATTTAGTTCTATGGACAAAGGGACCATAGGAATTATTGGTTTTTATTTAGTTATTTTTGAGGCAGGGTCTCACTCACTATGTAACTCTGTTCTGGAACTCACTCTGTAGACCAGGGCTGGCCTCGAATTCAGAAATCTACTTGCCACTGCCTCCCGAGTGCTGGGATTAAAGTTGTGTGCCACCACCATCCTAACCAGTTTTGTTTTTAAAATCAGTGTGTGTGCGTGTCAGTGAGTGCGCACACATGCACGCGCACATGTGAATGTCTGCAAGTGCGCATCATGTGCCTGTAGAGGCTAGAGGATAATTTGTGGGAGTTGGTTCTCTTTCCATCTTGTGGGTTCTAGAGATTGACCCATCAGGCTTTGTGGCAAGCAGCACCTTTACCCAATGGACCATCTTACTGACCCTCAAGTAATCTCAGCCCCATAGGAGGGTTTTAAGCAACGGAGTGGCCTATTATGTAGAGAGCAGGCCGGAAACAGGGAGATGGGATGGCAGTTCAGATTACCTTTGGAGGTGACAGGAAGAAAGTGTTCCATCTGTTTAGGACACTAGCTTCCAGCCTAGGTGTAGGTGGGCACAGCACAAATGGGGCTAAGGGTGACTCACTCCTGAGCCGCTCTAGACCAGAGACACAGGGACCCCAAAGGGGCTATCAGGGAGAGGAACGATTGCTTCCAAGCAACACTAGGACCATGAGGCATGTCGTCCTTCACGGTATGGTGTGACATGCTGCAAAGCTCAGGGTGCCTTAGGCCGGGGAGAAGATCTGTCCCGTGTGTCCGTATATATTTGCAGGGCTGGGATAGCACCCATAGTCTTGTTCACGTTAGACAAGTGATGTATTACTGAGTTGATCCCCAGCCTTAGATTCTTTAATACCCCAGGTGCTGGCAGTGCATGCCTTTAATCCCAACACTCAGGACAGGCGAATCTCTGTGCATTCGAGGCCAACCTGGTTTACAGAGTGAGCTCCAGGACAACCAGGGCTACACAGTAAAACCTTATCTTGAAAAATAAAAAAAATACCCCCAGCTTCACAGCTCTCTTTCTGACCTCTTCACTGGTGTAACAGTCTGCACAGTGCAATGCTGGTGATTCCAGCTAAAAGAGGCTGCCTGTCTCCCACTGCCGCTGAGTCCGGATTCCCGAGCCGGGCACTGAAACCCTCCTGCCTGCCTGCTGCTCTTCTGCAGTCAGCATGTGAGGCAGCTTTTGGGCCCCGCTCATTCAAAACAAAACAACTAAACACACAAGCCGGCACTTAGTCCCAGCACTCTGGAGACAAAGGCAGTGCGTGGACCCGAGTTCCAGGACAGCCAGGGCTACACAGACAAGCTGTGTCAAAAAAAAACAAACCAAACCAAACCGAAACTCCAAAGAACTCTATGCCTTCTACATAGCACACTCCCTTTTCTCTGGAATGCTTTCTCGCCCACTGGTGGACAAAGGTGTAGGCTTTGTGTCTCCAGTGCAGGTTTCTCCAACAGCCGCCACTTAACTCAGCACAGTGCGCTGGATTTTCTTCTGACCAAGAAATGGGTTGGGCTGTCCCCAGTTTCCCTGGTGAACAGACTTAAAGCTCCGCAAGGCAAGCACCAGGAGCACAGTCAGTTCTCTCTCCATCTGTCTCAGGACCCGGAGCCCAGCTTGCTGCAGTCCCCAGAACAGTTGGGTTAGAGCCCCACCTTTCCCCGCTCGCTTTCAGGGCTTATTCATATCACTAGTGTTTGCCAGTCCCTGGTGCATGCTGGAGCTGCCTTTTACCACTCAGGTCCCCTGCCCTGAGGTGCTAACCTCCATCGAGCTGTGCGATGATAGTACACAAATAGGTGAGTGACCACCAGTCCATGCCCAGAAACAGGAAGGAGTAGTATATAAACCTAACTACTTCCTGTTGGCCATGAGGTGGCTCCCCCACTGTCCAGCAGCACACTGCTGCTCTACCACGGCTTCATAACGAGCCCAGAAACAAAGAGCAAGTGACCATGGACCAGGCCTCAGCAACTATGAGCGATAAAAACAAACCCTTCCTTAATTAAAACAAATATTCAACATCAGAGACAGAGCTAGCAGGCAGATCTGTGTGAAGATGTAATTAAGGGCCAGGGCAATCACATGGAGCACAGGGACAGTAGCCAATGAAGCCAGCTGTGATGGCACACACCTGTAATCCCAGCACTGGGAGGCTGAGGCAGGAAGTTCAGTTCAAATTTGAGGTCCACTTGAGCTTTAAGATCCTGCCTCAAACAAAAGGACTACTGGACAGATTGTGAATGTGTGTTGTCTATGCAGTCCTTGCTACCCAGGAGCCTAGGCAAAGTAAGCAACACAGTAAAACCCCACATCCAACAACAACAAAAATCGACAAGGAAGAGGGTAAGGTGTGTGATGAGCTCTCGGTGGCAGGGGGATCTCACTAGTTGGGAACGCCATGCGGTCTGACTTAAGTTTCACATGCTAGGTCCTGCTGCCTTGTTAGTTCATCGGCAGACACTCTCAGACTGTACTAAGTACCAGTAGCTGTAGGAAAAAGAATGGTCAGGAGTCTGTCTTCTTACTTCCTGGGAAGGCTGCAGCAAAGCTTCATACTTCCCTACTGTCTGCTCAGGAGATCAGAGACCCAGGCTCTCCTACCCTTCCCTATCCCTGACTATTATCAGGCTTCTTTCTTGGTACAACTCTTGAGCAAGCCCTGGGGTATAGTCTTCCCATGGGATCTCTGCCATGTCTAGCTAAAGAGACAGACACCGTGGCGGAGACTGATCTGCAGCAGACACAGCTCAGGATCTTGCCAGCTGCAGTTATACCATCCTACAGAAGAGCCCTGTCAGGCGGACTGGAGGCAGAGGCATCTGTGGCCCTTCTTTCCCTCTCTGCTCCAGCTTCAAGAGGGCCTGCCCCTGAGGATTCTCACCCTTCTTCACCTCAGGGGTTTCCCCAGTGTAAGCAGGTGCGTACACACAGACAGACACCAGCAGGCTCTGGCCATACTGGCTGGAGTTCCAGCTCCGTCCTTCAGAAAAGGAGGGCTGAACTGCTGGCCGGGTGGGCAGGGAGGAAACAAACCTAAGCACCTTGACTTCGCTGTCTTGCCAACCACTTCACGGGCATTCTGCTAAATGTGCACACAAGCCTGGGAGGTGGTAGGCAGTGTCCCCAAAGCCTTAGAGAGGGGAGTACAGAGAAGACACATGCCTAGTCACACTGCCTTGGGTGCAGGGCTGGTTTCACAACCTCGTCTCTTGGTTAGAGGTCTCACTCTTCGCTGGCCTGCCACATGGGCAGCTAAGTAAGCCGCACAACCTCAAGAGCTTCACTTAAGACAGAACTTCAGCTCCAGATGGACCTGCTCATTCAGTCGTCCCCAGGCTATGACGCGGGGTTTGTGACGACCTCCACTGTTGGAACGGTGGCCATCACTAGGAGTCCAGTAACTTCCCCTCAGGTCTCAGGTTTGAAGGCTGCAATATGACCGGCCAGCAGCAGGGAGTGAGCTTAAGACCCTTTCTCCCATCAAGGGCAGCACCTGTCCACCTGCTTCCTATCTCCCTCAGCCATCTGTAACAGGAGCCATGCACCTCTACCTCTGGGTGGGAGGTGGTGGGAGCGGGTAACAGGGATCGTTTAATGACTTGTCTAGCAAAGTTGGGAGGAAACTAGGTGTGGAGAAAGCAGGAAAGCTTTCTGGCACCAATCAGCAGCTGTGTGGGCACACAGCCCCAGGACATGCCCCACACGGATCTGTTTCACAGACGGTGTGGTAGACTATTGCTTTGTCTTCTTGTCCCACAGAGCTGCATATCTGAGGGGGATGAGGGAGTAACTCCTAGTTTTATGCAGTGCTGGGACTCACAGCAGGACTCTGGGATTGTTAGCCAAGCACTCTGCCAACTGACCTCCACGCTCAGCCCTTTATCATCGATTTCCTCCACCACCCCACCGGGGGATCGAATCCAGGGCCTCACGCATACTAGGTAAGTGCCCCGCCACTGAGCTACACATTGACTCCGTGAAGGGATTTTAAAAAAATCGTTTAAGTAGCTATTTTCTATCTGCTTTATGGATTTGGGACAGGTAGAATGAGGTGGAGTTAACAAGATGTTTTTTGTTCTTTCTTTCTACATCTGTTATCCATCCATCCATCCTTTTTTTTTTTTTTTTTTTTTTTTCCGAGACAGGGTTTCTCTGTGTAGTTTTGGTGCCTGTCCTGGAACTCGCTCTGTAGACCAGGCTGGCCTCGAACTCACAGAGATCCACCTGGCCCTGCCTCCCGAGTGCTGGGATTAAAGGTGTGCGCCACCACCCCAGCCCATCTGGGTCTCACATTCTCACTACGCAGCCCTGGATAGCCTGGAACTTAAGAAAGATCTACCTCCCCTGATTCCCAGGTGCTGGGATTGAAGGTATGCACCATTCAGCGCCCGGCCTGGCCCGCGGCTTCAGCTGTGACCCCGTCTTCACCCCACACGTGCACACTCTGGCTGCAGCTGCTCCTACTCTCTCCTCTTGTTTCCTTTTTCAACAGTCTCCATAGTCCAGGCTGACCTAAATTCATGGCACTCTTCCTGGAGATCATAGATGGGAGCCACCACCTCCATCTGGCAATACATGTTTTTAAACAAGGGCTCCAGAGAGCTGTCATTCAGACTCAGGAGCAGTGGTTTGTCCCCTAGTGTCACCTGTTCTTGTGAGTGCCAACAGTCCTTTTACTCAAATAAAAAGTGTCACATAGAAGCTCACAGAATACACAGAAAGGCCTTGGGGGACAGGCGACATGTTGCTGTGGAAGCCCCAGCTTGGAAGAGGACAGGACATAAATACAGTGTCTGCCTGACTAGGGGCCAGGCCACCCCTCCCACCCAGCCTTCACAGGCTCCTCTCTGACCCCAGGGCCTTACCAGGGGGCCTGCTATGCTCAGGAAGGCTGTGAGGAGGGAGCCCAGAGAGAGGAGCCTGCCGGGCTGCCTTCCCCCATACAGAGCCCTCCCGCCCTCTGCAGCCCAGGTGGCAGTAAAGCTGAGGAGCCGGCTCAGAACCCTCCAGGCAGTCCAGTAAACAGGAAACCAGACTGAGTCCAACCAATGACCTGAGCTTTGACTGTCAGAGGACCAGTGAAAATCCTCCACAAGAGATCCAAAAGGGTTTTAGTCTCCCAATTGCCTTGCTCCGGGCAAAACCCAGCAAACCATTTACTTCCATGACTCATTGACTTGCTAATGCATAGCTCCAGGGCAAGTTAAAAGAGACAATCAGAAGAGATGCCCCAGGGAGAAGAAACCAGCTTGGCATGATGTAGATACCTGTTGAGGCCAGTGCTGAGTTCATTTGAATAATCTTCCTTTGGAGCAAGGACTGTGGTTTAGTGGCAGAGCTTGGAGACCTCCGTAAGAGCAAAGGACATTTTGAAAGTAAATACAGACAAAGATGTGTGACTGAGGAGCTACTGCATTTTCTACTTGAATATTTCCTTCATTTTCTGCAGTTACAATTACTGAATCCTCTCCTGACAGATAATGATCAAAACCACCCCGAGTGGAGCCCCAACAACAAACAGAACTAAGGTCTTTGTCCCCCACTCCCTGGTGACTCTGCCATCTAAATGCCCCAATGCTGGGCCAGTAGAGGTGCCCACGTTCCGTGGAAGCACCTGACTCCTTTAGAGGCTGGGGTTCCCTGGTCAAAGGAAGGAGTGTGGTAATCAGTACACAGCAAGAATGTGGGTCAGAGAGGAGACCTGCGGGAAACAGCAAGGGCTGTAGTCAGACTGGCAGGAGCCGGTGAAGGATTTTATGTCGACTGACAGGTGATCTGTCAGTGATGACAAGGAAAAGCATGGGATCAAGAAGTTGCATTCTTGTCAAGCATGGTGGCGCACGACTTTAATCCTAGCACTCGGGATACAGAGCCAGGCGGATCTCTGTGAGTTCAAGGCCAGCCTGGTCTACAGAGTGAGTTCCAGGACATCCAGGGCTACACAGAGAAACCCTGTCTTGAAAAACCAAAAAGCAAACAAACAAAAAACAAAACACCCACCAAACAAGGCCAAAATAAAAAGTAAACAAGAAAGAGTTATATTTCATACCTTTAGTCCCAGCGCTGGGAGGCAGAGACTGCTAGATCTCTTATGAGACAAGGCCAGCCAAAACTATACATAGCAAGACCTTGTCTCAAAAACCCAAACCAAACCTTACATTGCATTACATGCAAGGGAAATGTATAAACGGGCTAGAGTTCTCAGAGGAGCCTCTGAGAAAGGGCAGGGCCAGAACTGTCCATTTTCCCACAGGTACTTTAGGCCAGAGTCTTGAGAGAGGCACACTGCTGAGGCTGATGTGGGGCTGAGGGTAGGTATCCTTTCGGGAGTGCCCGATGGTTTCCACCGGTCCCTAACTCTCAGTATAGTCCAGAGCAGGTGGCCATCACTGGAACCCAGTGGCTGATCCCTGCCCCGTACTTGGATGTGCACATGGAGCTCTGCTCCTAGGGAATCCACTGGTCTCCACAAGGACGTTTTGATTTTCTCTTTCCACTCTGATCTCAAGTAGGTGCATCATGTCCAACTACACAGCAGGAGTGGGCAGCAAAATACACAGGCCCCTTTAGTGCACTCAGGTGGGATTTCATTGGTTTATATTCATCGACTTTGGAAAATCACGTTTTGTAGCTGTATATCAGAGCAAAATTAAACGTTTTTGTTTTGTTTTTTGTTTTTTTTGGTTTTTTCGAGACAGGGTTTCTCTGTGTAGCTTTGCGCCTTTCCTGGAACTCACTTGGTAGTCCAGGCTGGCCTCGAACTCACAGAGATCCGCCTGGCTCTGCCTCCCGAGTGCTGGGATTAAAGGCGTGCGCCACCACCGCCCGGCAAAATTAAACGTTTTTAACTCAAGTTTGTTGGTACACACTTATGATATAATAATAAAAATGATTTTAGCTAACATTTTGAGGGGAGATGGGGCCAACAAGAACAGCTCTTTTATGCAGTGCTGGGGAACCCTGCCTCCTTTGGTGTGCCTGGCAAGTGCCTGATCACTCTGCCCCATTCCCCAATTCTTAAAAAAAGGTCAGGACATTCCTCAGGTTGGAGAACTAGTGTCCCTGACAAGAAGCAGTTCCAATACAGTGTGACAAGTGGGTTGACAGGACAGGTGTGAGGTACCATAGGGACGTACAGCAATGACTCCAACAGGCTGCAGGCCAGAGTGTTTGCAAGAGACAAGTGCTCCAGCAGAGTAAAGCAAATGCAGAAGGCAGGACTGTGCCCGATGTTCACGACCAAGCGCCAGTCCCAGGAAGAGCTGAAGAGGGAGCTGGGGTGAAGTCTGGAGCCCATCTGAAGACAGTGACACCATCAGATTTGTCCTTCTGAGGCTGAAGGATAAAGGCTGTCTAGACAGTTCTGGTCTCAAGTTCTAGGCCTTTTATTTTTGCCTCTGTGCCTCTAGAACCTGTAAGTTCAAAGCCACCTTCCAGGGGGTCCTGATGGAGGCCCTAGGCTGTGTTACCCTGTGTCTCCGCTGCGTTTGTCCCAGTAGTCAATCTGCACCCCACTATCCCCTCCCCCGAAGACTAGATACTCCCTAGACGTAGGGGCTGGGCCCAATGGAGGCACCTGGGAAGTAAATACGAAATGCTCCATGCTGCCGCGTGCATGAACCCCTGGAGGATAAAGACGAGAGCAAAAGACAAGCACCCCAAATGGTGTTGGAAATCTTGAGAGTGCTCCAAGCTTTTCCCATTGTCAGCTGAGGAAATGTGGGCCAGAGACGGCAGCAGCCTGGCTAAGGGCCAGAGTCCTCCTGTGAAGAGGGTGGGACGCCAGCCAGTCCTTTAAGAGTCTAGACCCTGTCTCAGGACAGACTTGGGCTAACCACTGCCCAGAGTAGAGAGCAAGGTCACAGGAATTTTACAGGCTGACTACTAACATGGGAGGAACAAAGGTGGGAAGCTTGGGAAGTCGCAAGATCAGAGTGGAGCGAGGGAAGGAGGGAGACGGCTGTGGGCTGGAGAAATGGTATGTGAGGACAGAGGAGGAAGCAGGAGGAAGCCTACTGGCTCATGAAAGGAACTGTGAAGCCACTAAGACAGAGACAAGTCCCCGGTGCTAGGCCCAGGGCTACTGCATCATCTCCTAGCCAACTCAACCCTGAGCACTGCCGGTCAGCATCACGGGAACAGAGCAGAGCCTTCCGCAAGTCAACGGACAATGCTTCGAGAACAAACATCTCGAGTGTACCCCTGTATGCTGTTTACAAAGGGTCTTTTATATTCGGTTCAAACTCTGTTCCTCCTAACAGGTCCACCAGGCACTGGAGAGGAATGTATGGCCATCCTCCTCCTCTTCCTTCCGAGTGCTGGGTTCACAAGTGTGGACCAACCTGTCTACCTCCAGCTCAATTTTTAAAAGACCTCCTCTTTTACATTAAGAAAAAAATACATGGGTATTATGTGAGCCTGAAGAGGCAAGACGCTGTCCGATCTGCTGGAGCTGGGTTAGAGAAGGCCCTGAGCTTTCTGATCTGGGTGCAGAGAGCCAAAGTTGGATCCACAGAAGAGCAGGAAGTGCTCTTAACCACTGGGTCATCTCTTCAGTCCCTTCATTTAACCACACCACAGAACCCATCTGTCCTGCAATCAAGTCCTGTTCAAACAGTGTGGCAGACGGCATCTCAGCTACTCAGTGCCTTCTTCTCACCTTCAAGGTCAATAATGACACTAGAAACAATTCCTTATCCCTTCAGAAGGGCCAAGGCCTTAAGGCCAGCTGCAATGACTCCCCCGCCCCCCACACACACACTGTCTTCCCTTGGGAGGAGGAGGAACGGTGTTGTCATCTTACCCAGCAGGGATCAGGGACAGAGCTGGAGACTGGTGCCTGGTCCCACCTTACCTGCAGCACTGACAGGTTGGTCTGTCCCGAGAGACTCAGCTTCTCCTGCTCTGATGGGTAGGCATTGTAGCGGTGCAGATACAGCCAGTCCCGGAGGATCTTCACCGACTCCTTGGGCAGGTTCCCCCTGCGCTTCCTCTTGCTGGCCAGAGACAGAAGGCCTTCGTCTTCACCTAGATCGCTGTCCGACATGGTGCAGAGGGGCTAGGCTGGACCTCTGGGGAGCCTGGGGCAAGTGACAAAGGGGATGGGGATAACATTACCACTTCATGCCTGTCCCCTTTTCCTTACTAATGAGTCTACCATCACAAGAGTCAGAGTTCCAAATCGTGGCTAGTACCATAGCCTGAGCAAGCTAGAAGGATGAATCCTAAATGCCACCAATTCATGGAACGGAGAAGGACTACTCAAACATGAGTGGCACCTCTTTTAGAAACAGAATAGGGACCAGAACGAACTACAGCTTCCTCAGTATTTCTACTGAGACAGGGTCTCACTATATAGCCCAGGCAGGTCTTGAAATCTTGATCCTCCTGTCTCTGCCTCCCAGTGTCAATGCCCAGCTTGAATTCTGTTTTCCAGGCTGTCCAGGAAACTTAACATTTATTACCTCATTGAACTCTTCAAAAGCTCCTGTAAAAGGAGAAACTTATCATTTTACACATTAAGAAAGCTGCCAAAGGAACCAGCGAGTTACCACATGACCCAGAATTTGAAACTCAGAACACGGGCCCATGCAAACGCCTATGCACAAATGTTCACAGCAGCCAAAAGGTAGAAACCATCGAGAGACCTTCAACAGATGGCTGAACGAGTGAACTATCTGGCCATACAAAGGAGGAGAGTGGGGCTGGAGAGATGGCTCAGCAGTTAAGAGCTCTGGCTGTTCTTCCAGAGGCCCTGGTTCAGTTCCCAGCACCCATGTGGTAGTTAATAGCCATCTGTAACTCCAGTTCCAGGGGATCCAATGCCTTCTTGTGACACCTGTGGGCACCCATGTGGTGTATATACACACATTAGACAAAACACTCCTATGTGTAAAACAAAATAAATGTAAAAAAAGAGCACACTTCTGTAGCTTGAGTTTTCCTGCCTGGCCCACAGTCAGGACAAATCTCTCTCACCTGCCAGTCCCACAGCCGCTCAGACCCGACCAAGTAAACACAGAGACTTATGTTGGTTACAAACTGTATGGCCGTGGCAGGCTTCTTGCTAACTGTTCTTACAGCTTAAATTAATCCATTTCCATTAATCTATACCTTGCCACGTGGCTCGTGGCTTACCGGCATCTTCACATGCTGTTTGTCATCGTGGCGGCTGGCAGCGTCTCTCTGACTCAGCCTTCCACTTCCCAGCTTTATTCTCCTCCTTGTCCCGCCTACACTTCCTGCCTAGCCAATGGCCAATCAGTGATTTATTTATTGACCAATCAGCAACACATTTGCCATACAGAACATCCCACAGCACTTCCCCCATTTTTTTTTTCAAAAAGGAAGGTTTTAACCTAAGTGCTGTGGAATGTTCTGTATGGCAAATGTGTTGCTAATTAGTTAATAAATAAAACACTGATTGGCCATTGGCTAGGCAGGAAGTGTAGGCGGGACAAGGAGGAGAATAAAGCTGGGAAGTGGAAGGCTGAGTCAGAGAGACGCTGCCAGCCGCCAAGATGAGAAACAGCATGTGAAGATGCCGGTAAGCCACGAGCCACGTGGCAAGGTATAGATTAATGGAAATGGATTAATTTAAGCTGTAAGAACAGTTAGCAAGAAGCCTGCCACGGCCATACAGTTTGTAACCAGTATAAGTCTCTGTGTTTACTTGGTCGGGTCTGAGTGGCTGTGGGACTGGCGGGTGACAGAGATTTGTCCTGACTATGGGCCAGGCAGGAAAACTTAAGCTACACACTTCTGATGCTTGCTACAGCATGGATGGGTCAGCAGTTAATTAGGGCTGGGGGGACAGAAGGACATTCGCCTTTGACGTTTGCTTATTTTAGAGTTTTACACACATAATATTCTTTGATCAAAACACTCTATTATCTTATTTTTCCTTCTCCCAAGATTTTATTTCTTTTTATTTTACGTATATAGATATTCTGCCTAGTGTATATCTGGGCACCACACATGTAGTGCCCTGGGAGACCAGAAGAGGGAGGTGGATCCTCTGGAATTGGAGTTACAGATGGTTGTGAGCCTATGTCTCTTCTGGGAACGGAACCCAGATTCTTCCCAAGAGCAAGTGCTCTTAAATTAAGTCATTTCTCCAGCACAAGCCACCACCCCCACCCCATCTCCCCCATCCCCCATCCCTGCTCTTATTTTAAAAGTGAATTTCTGGGGCTGGAGAGATGGCTCAGCAGTTAAGAGCATTTGTCAAAGTGGTGGTGCACGCCTTTAATCCCAGCACTGGAGAGGCAGAGGCAGGCAGGTCTCTGTGAGTTGGAGGCTAGCCTGGTCTACAGAGCAAGTTCCAGGACAGCCAGGGTTACACAGAAAAACCCTGTCTCGAAAAACAAAAACATAACGAAACAAATCGAGCATTTGTTATTCTTACAGAAGACCTGGGTTGTATTCCCTGCACCCACATGGCAGGTAGTTCATAATCATCCATAAATCTAGTTCCAGGGGATCAGATGTCCTCTCTGACCTCTGAGGTGCACACACATACAAACAACACTCTTACACATATTAAAAAAACAAAAAAAACAAAACCTAAAATCTTTTTAAAAAAGGAGAATTCCCATTTCTTAAGATCCACTATAAAGCAGTTCCTTCCAAAGCCCCGAGGCAGGTTTGGAAACTTCACCGTGGTCCTGCAGCCAGCCACTGGTAAGTGCAGGGAGTGAGTCATTCCTACGGTTTTCTTAGACCCTCTCCGTGGACGGGCCTCTGACCTGGACCCAGACTTAATCTCAGAATCCAGATCAATGAGTGTGGCTCCGGCCCCTGCTTTAACTCCCACAGCGTGGGATCCTAATCAAGTGTCCCCTTTCTCTGAGTTTGAAGCCCTCCTCCTTCCCTGCCTAGATAACGCACCCCTATCAGCTGCTTCTCTCCACCAGACAAAGTTCCAGTTCACACAAGCAAAAGAAATTTACATTTTAAAGGCACAAGTTCCAGGCCAAGGCTGTGCCAGAATCTCAAGGCTCCTCCCTTCTCTGCCTTTTAACAGCTCCCCAGCAGGCCGAGCCAACAGACTCTGGCATCTCCAAGGTTTTGTTTCCTCGACTTGGGCCTGAGCCCAGATCTCCGGGCTGGCTAAGCCAGACTTTCGAGGGAAGGGTCTACCTTCGGCCAGGCCACCTGGAGGTGAAAGTGGACACTGCTCAGAGGTACCGTTCCTCAAAGTATCACAAATGGGCTGCTTTCTGAGGGCAGGCATTTCAACCACCAGCACAGCTGGGATACCAGCTCAGGGATGCAGCCCTGGCAGTTGGTGAAAAGTTTACTGAAGGTCATCTTTACAAATTCCACTCTAGCTGCCAGCCAAGAACCCAGTCTTCAGGGTTCCCAGGGTGAGGCCAGAGGACGACCCCTCAGCGGGAACTTTTCCATCCCTGGATCCTGCACCCTAGGCTTGCCTGCAAGTTTCCCACACCCGCATCCCAGTAATACCTCGATATTCCCCATGCAAGTTTAACAGTGCTCAAAATAACTGACCCGATCCACTGCTCACATCCCACAAGCTCCCCAAGTTTTACGAACGCACACAATTTACACCCCATACTTAGGACCAACGACTACAAAGACTCTTGAGACTAGCCAAACTCCTGCACCCGCCCACCCACGAACTCCAACTGACCTGCCCACCCACGATCTCTCCGACCGAGGAGCACGCACGTCATCACACTGGCCATCCATCAGCTTTCACCCTAACTGGGTTACTGGCTGCACCCTTGGACACTGCACCCCATACAATCTCCTACACACTCCCACACCACCATCTGCTGCAGCCACTCCCACAGGAACTTTCTGACAACTCTCCCAGCTCCAGATACTCTCCCCCAGGCCGCACACAGGGGCTGGAGTTCTCAGCAGTTCACACAAAGCGCGCAACCTCCCCCGCGGCCCAGGCGCAGAGGAGCACATGGCTCATGGGGCGCCGACGAATGGGCCGGCGCTCAGGGCACCCTCACCCCCCATACCCCCTCCTCCCCAGAGTCACGATGCGTGCAACAGCTCCCCTGCCGGTCCGCCACCTGGCGGGGGGGGGGGGAACTCTGCAAGAAAGAAAACTCACGTGTCCATTCTAGGGCAGGAAAAAGTTTGGTTCCAACCCCTTCCCCGGTACTCCGCGCAGGCTGACTCTTGGGGCGCGGGGCCGCCGGAGCGTGCGCGCTCGGCTTTGTGCTCCGAACTCGGCCCGGAGGGGGAGGGGAAAGGAGGGGGCTGGGCTCCAACCTCCGCACCGCCCCCCCCCAGCCCTGCGCCCAGACTCCATGTTGGCCGCCCCCCCTGCACCGGGGACGCGCGCAGCCCCCGTAGGAGGCTCGGCGGCCCCTCGCCTGGCCCCGGAGTCCCGGCGCGCACAAACTTTCTCCGCGTCGCCAGCCCCACGCGCCCCACAGCCTTGGCCCGCCCGGGAGTGACAGATGCCTCGGAGACAGACTTTCCTTTGTTCCAAAGGAAAGGGGAACTCGCGCGGGCTCCCCAGCCCTCCCCGTCGGGGCCCCGCCCGCGGCCCCCACCTCCAGCTGTCACTCGGCGGCCCCCGGTCCCGCTCCGCCGCCGTGGAGGGGGGGGGGGGCGGCTGCCGGCGGTTAGCAACGTGCACTTTTGAAACCAAACAAACCCGCTCCCCGCGCGCTCACCCCGCTGCGGGGCACCGGCCGCCCTCTCCCAGGCTGGGATCTCTGGGAGCCGACCCCCCCCCAAAGGATCCCGACCAAGCCACCCCCTCCCCCGACATCCCGCGCCAGAGCTCAGCGGACGGGACGGGCACACACACACACACCCGGGCTTACACACCCACTGTGGCACGCGCCGGGACGACGCCCCCGCCCCCGCCCCGCCGCCCCAAGAAACTTTCCAAGTTGTCCGCGCGCCCCCACCCGCGTCTCCAGCCCTCCGGCGTCCCGCACTTACCTTGCCCGGCGGCTTTCCGGCCCACGCGGCCTCGGCGGGGTGCGGGACAGCCCGGCCGGGGCGGGGAGCGCCGGGGGAGCGCGCCGCGTACCTGCCGGGTCTGACACCCGCCTGACAGCTCGCGGCTGGAAAGCACCTCGCGACCTGACGTCAGATCCCCTCTCCTCCCATCGCGCCCGCCGCCCCCTCCCCCACCGCCCCGAGGCAGAAACAAACTTTGCGCGGAGCGTGGCCAGCTACGCCCACCCCCGGGGGCGGGCCCGCGGAGCTGGGGGGCTTCGCCCCGCCCACGCGCCGGAGGGGGCGGGCCCGCGGCACCTCCTTCCTGCGCCCACCCACCTTAGGAATGCCACATGGCCCGGGCCGGGGGCGGGGCGGTGGGACCCGGACTCCAGGAGTCAGCTCGGGGGGCAGGAAGTGGCCCGCTCCTCCTTTCGGAGAGCGTTTCCGGAGCGCCTACTGTGTGCGCCTCGCTGGGGGTGGGGCGCTACCGGGGCACAAAGGGTGCCAGTCCCGGGACTTTTGTAAGTTCGTTCCCTCCTCTGGGTGCTTGCCCGTGTGGGGATGGGGAAACTGAGGCTCCGTAGATATGGAGACTTAACTCCCAGCCGCTAAGGGACCTGTGGTTTTGGCCGTCCGTAGGGTCGCGGAGGTCATTTTGGATAAAACCCCAAGCCCAGGGCCTAGCGCAGAGGGTTGGCCAGGGGTGACTCCAGGCTGCGCCTTAGGAGCGCGGGTGAGGCAGGCAGCGAGCCCCACTTTGAGGGGTCCGCAGTTACTCTCTGGGTGCTGACTCATCTGCCAGTGTCCTTTGGCCCAGGTGGGTCTCATGGAGACAGGGTGGTGAGTCTGGGCTCTTCCGGCGTCCAGGCTGGTGTATTTTCCCTTGCCTCCAAGTTCCCTGACCGGCTGTCTCTTGGGTCTCTACCTAAGTGTGGGCAGAGCCTGACTCCGGCTCAGAAGGACTTTTTCTGAGTTTGTGGTCATAGAGGCCCAGAAACCTGAGACCCTTGTGCTAGTACCAACGACATTGGAACAGTCTTTAGTTTTTTTTTTTTATTTTTTAATGCTATTATTATCTTCTTATCATTATTTTACTATTAAACTAGGGTCTCAGATCAGTCTCAGACTTGGAGTGGTTCACCCGCTTCAGCTACCTAAGTGACAGAAACTACAGCTGTCATTGCTACATCAGACTCAGCTTTTTTTTTTTTTTTTGCACTTTAGTCACAAAACTTTGGGGACAAAAGTTAAGTTTTCCTCCCAGAAAGCCCAAGCCAATCAGAATGCTGATCAAATGACTCTTTAGGTGTACTTGGGTTTCCTGGAAACCAGACGTGCCTGAAAATGCTTTAAACAAAAATGGCCATCCTGCTTTACATCTCAAATATCGGTAACATTTCCCAGTACCCTCCTTTTTACCAGTGGGGAAGCCAAGACCCAGAGGTAGTCACAGCAATTTCTTGGCCAAGTGGTATTCCATCCATAGACCTGTGAGAATAAAGGAAATGGGAAGTCTTGGGTGAGAAAGGTAAAGCCTACTGGGCCTTAGCCACTAGGGTAACAGTGTGCAAGAGACAGGTACCTTCATGTAGGCGGGACCACCAGGGGAAGTACGGGGGCAGCCAGATGAGCCTGGAGATGTGCTGGGTTCTTAGCTACTGAGCTATCATGCTAGGCATGTGCTGCAGGTGAGAGAGCCGTGTCTTCTCCTTGGAGCAGGAGCCACTGGTGGCCAGGGACAAGCCCACAGGACCCGCCACAGATTCCATCCGTGGCAGCCTGCTAGGCCAGTGTTCCTAAGTCTGCTCAGTTGGGAGATGAAGGGAGTGACCTGTTCCTTCCCATGGCCTGCAGCGGAGCCAAGTGAATGCTGGATGACAGCTCTGAAGTCTCCCTGATCCTCCTGGGAGGGTACAGGGCTGGGGTGAGGGAGGCTGCTTCTGTGTCAGGATTTCACATAAACAGCCCCCCTCGCCTAAGAATACCCTGAATTTGACAGTTGCCAGGTTAATCTCTGTAAATACAGTGTAAGATGCATGCATCATTACACCAGGATTCCACCGGGTTAATATTTTTGAAGTAGCGGCAAAGCTAGAGCTTGCATGAGATGATTCTTCACGGTGCTGTTGGTCCCTTCCCGGGATCTGGATAGTTATTGGCAACAACTGAAAAATATAATGTGTAAATCTGTGTGCTCTAAGCCAGAGAGGGCTGGCATGGATTTATTTTCAGCTATAGTGTTGTGCCTAGAAGGGGCTTTAGCCAGACTCGTTGATAATTCTGACAGGAAAACTTTTTCCAACTGGTGTTTGTTTTGGTTTGTGACAAGACCTCGCTGTTGCCCAGGCTGGCCTCAAACTCCCAAGCTCAGTGATACTCTCCTTCCGACTCCCAAACAGCACTGTGTACATGAATCACCGTGCCTGATGGTAAGTTATTTTCTCTCCATTGTCTTTTTCCTTTTTTAGTAAGAAAGGTAGTCTTGCTATGTTGTCCTGTCTAGTCTGGAGTCCCTGGGCTTAGATTCTTCCACTTCAGCTTCTTGAGTGCTGAAGTGTGTCCTGCCACACCTGCTTCTGTTACCTAGTTTTACCACATGCACTCTTCTCTAACAAATGTGAATTTGAAACCCAGCACCACGGAAACTGTGCGGATACATATATTACTGTGGCAAGAAACCCCCCTTCTTTTCCCTACATGTTAAGAAACTGTGCTGGTGCTGGTGGCACACGCCTTTAATCCCAGCACTTAGAGGCAACTGGATCTCTGTGAGTTCCAGGCCAGCCAGGTCTACATAGTGAGTTCCAGGCCAGCCAAAGCTATATAGTGAAACCTTGTCTCAAAGGAGGTCAGGAAAAAACAAAAACAAAAACAAAGCTTGGGCTGCAGCTCAGTGGTAGAGCTCTTGCCTAGCGTACATAAAGCCCTAGGTTCAATACCCAGTACTCCCATGAAACAAAAACCAACAACCAAAAAGGGAAACCATCAACTTGGAGCTTTCCTTGACAGTTCTTTCTCCGAGGCCAGTGTGGTGAAACATGTCAGTAATCCCAGCACTCCAAAGGTAAAGGCAGGAGAATCATGAATTCAAGGTCAGCCTTAGCTATAGGTCAGTGGTTCTCAACCTTCCTAATGCTGCGACCCTTTAATGCAGTTCCTCATGTTGTGGTAACCCCCAACAATAAATTTTTTTTTTTGCTACTTCATAACTGTAATTTTGCTGGTGTTATGAATCGTAATGTAAATATCTTATATACAACCCTAAAGGGGTCGAGACCCACAGGCTGAGAGTCACTGCTATAGAGCATGAGATCCTGTCTCAAAACGAAACAAAAACAAAATAAAGAAGCTGCATCCCAGGCTGGAGAGATGGTTCAGTGGTTAGAGCACTGACTGCTCTTCCACAGGTCCTGAGTTCAATTCCCAGCAACCACATGGTGGCCCTCTTCTGGTGTAAAGAAGTAAATCTAAAAAAAGAAGCTGCATGCCTGGAAGGAGAGATTTTCCTGACAATGAAAATCTTGGGGTCCTCCCTCTGGGGAGGGATCTGGAGTGAGGCCGGAGAGGGAAGGTGGGTGCTGGCTGGTTCATCCTACTCTGTTCTCTGCTCCATACCAGAGAAGTGCAGGTCAGAGAAGCTCCTGGGGAGGAGACTGCTTTCGTCCTGCCCCTTTCCAGGGCACTTGGTGGTCACAGAGGTGTACGCAAATGTCACAGGATCCACTTTGACTGGAAAGATGAGAACAACTGGCGGTGCCCTTGTTATGGGAGAGGAACAGGGACCAGCCCAGGCCAAGGACTAGGGCAGGCGATCAGACCTCACCTCACGTGAAGGACAAGGATGCAGGATGAGGCCACTTCTGGAGCTTTCAGGAGAGCTTGGAGGCTGGTGGTGAGGTGGTGTGGATGGAGGAGGAGCCGCAGCAGGCCTGCCTTCAAGATTGAGATTTGTGGCTCATGCTCCGAGGTTCTCTCTTCATCTCGTGGATTTCCACTTAACTGCATCTTAAAAGTTGGCTGTCTTATTGTTCAGCCACATGTGGTTTAGCTTGCACTTAGTTGTGGATCTTTACTTATTTACCTAATTTCCTTGTACCCTTGGTGCTGGGGATGGAATGAAGGTCCTGCACGCAAGCAAGTCTTCTCCCATCAAGCCACATGCAAGCCCCTATTTAATTAAAAAACTTTTTTTGTTCGAGGCCAGCCTGGGCTACCAAGTGAGTTCCAGGAAAGGTGCAAAGCTACACAGAGAAACCCTGTCTCAAAAAACAAAACAAAACAAAAAAAAAACAACTTTTTTTTGCCTGTATTTAGTATGTACGTATGCATGTGGGGGTCAGAAGATAATCTGCAGGGCTCTGGAGATTGAACTCGGGTTGTCGGCCTCAGCAGCCCTTACCCACTGAGCCATCTCGTTGGGCCCCTACTTTATCTTTTCTTTCCATCCTTCCGTCCTTCC